TAATCTTTTGGGTAACAATGGGTATCATTCTTGAGAGCCTGCAAGGGTGGTTGCAGGAAAACAACATAAAAGACTTCAAGGGGTGGGGGACTGGAGGGAGTTTATAAACCCTGAGTAAAAAGGACTAGAAAGATACAAACTAAAATTGTACCAAATGCAAGCCAAGAGGTACAAACCAAATCACTATCCGTGGTTATTTTTAGACCTGGAGTTGGGGGAACTTTTCACTTTCTTCTGGTGGCTTATCTGTATTTTCTAAACTTTCTACAATGAGTGGCTATTGTTTTTGCAATAAGAAAACATAAACAACACAACAATGAAAAATCAAAACCAAAGTATTTCTGGTTTGGAATTGCTACCATTGTTCAAAAAAGCAGGAAACATTCTCATTACCTCTGACCAGTAAAGATAATCATCAGCTGCAAACAAAGAAAAAAATAAAATGCCTCCAGCCCACGTGTGATCGGCCAGCTCAGACTCTGTCTCTGAGAGCTGTGTCACTGGGTGGCCTCAGGAAAGTCCTGCTGGGCCCCGTGACACACAGGGGAAAGGACGGTGATGCCCCCCAAGCCTCTTTATGTCCTTTATCGCTAGATCTTGCTCTGTAATCCATACATGAATATAAACTGTTAAATCGACATGTTTTCTGCCTGCCCCACTCAGCTGGAAACCAATTGTGTTGTATCCTGATACCCCCAACCTATCAGCCAGTGGGTCCAGAGCGGCCACACCAAGAGTGACAAAACAGCTGTCACTGGCTCATGGCCCTCTCTGCTCCACTGACAGACCTGGACCCACTGCACAGAACCCTTAAAAGTGTGTGATCCCCAGAAGCTTCTCCTGCGGGCGGCTCACACAGAGTCCACTCCGGCCGTGCCTTCTGCAGTGTCCACAGCAGAACCCAGACCCAGACGGTCGAAGTTTATATCCTGGCAGTGAGGTTCACCCCCTGTGTAACTTCGAGTGAGATACTGAACTTCTCTGTACCTCAGTTTCCTTATTGGTAAAACGGGCAAAGTACTATCTATTTATAGGGTTGTTGTGCGGACTGAGTGAATTAACAGAGCACAGTGCTCCGAACAGTGCCCGGCACACAGTCAGTGCTCCCTGCCTGTTACCTGTTACTGGCCAAAGCCTCTGCTTCACTTTCGAGCAGCTGCTTGCTGTCTGTCTGCAGGTCCCTGGCAGCACGTGAAAGAAATCTTCATTTTAAATATGGATTAAAAAGATTGAATAAAGTCCCGTGCAATGTTTCACAGCCTTTAGTTTCATCCCAGCAAGCTGCTTGGGTGAAGTTCGTAAAGCAGCTTCCCCAGGAGGCATTTTTCCAAGACCAGACCTCAACTCTTACAGAGCCAGCTCGAGACGAATCTCAGCCCTCAAACTTCCAGGAGCTGTGAGTGACTCTTACCCTCCAGTAGCTTTCAAACCTGGGAGTTTTAAAGCCAGATGCCCAGGCTATCCCCCACACCAATTAAACCAGGATCCCTCAGGCGGGGCCCAGGCATGCGCTCCTTTGGAAGCTCCCAGGTGATTCCAGGGTGCAGCCCAGGCTGAGAAGCACTGCCGGCGCCTAAACCAAATGCCGCAACCGTAACAGATCACAGGTGGTGGCTAATATGTGGTCCTATGTCAGGACGGAAGCAGACGTCAATAAACTGGTAACACTGGGGACAAGCACAGCTCAGGAAGGGGGGCCTTAAGATGTCAAAGCTCCATGGTATCCTTTCATTCTTCGGAAAGACACTTGGTTTGGGGGATCACCGAGTAGTCCTGCTTGTGTTCTTGTAATTTCCAGTTACTTCCTGCTCGAAAAAATCTCGCCCGCCCTGGAGGAGAACTCCTCGGGGGGTCCAAACGCAGAGCCAGACAGAGGCACGTCAGAGCTTCAGCTCTGTGGCCCGGCCTGGAGTCGCTCAGTGTCTCACCCAGGGGCTGAGCAGCCCGACCTCCAGCGGGCTGACGGTGAGGTGGGACGTGTGTTGTGAAGGAGGCCATGGAGCACCTCAGAAGAGGAGGGGCACCCCCAGATGAGGCCATTAGGGAGGAATGGGGGGTATGTGTCCTTCGGAAAGGTCCTTAACCACATGTTCTTCTGTTCCTTCAAATGTCCTTAACCTTCAGGGTCACTGTGAAGGTTAAATGAGTTAGTATAGTGCTTTAAAGTAGAGAGTTCTTGGCACTGAGAAAACCCTTGCAGGGTGAGCTGTGCTTAGTATTATTGTCATCAGTATAACTGTTAAGCAGATTTCTGGTCTATTAGTAAAATTTTTTAAAGGAAAAATATTTGGTAGTTAAAAATAGTAGAGCAGGGTTACAAGTACAGTTGACTCTTGAACAGCAAGTGTGGTAGGGGTGCCAACCCACCCCATCTCACAGTCGAAAAACCGGGTATAATTTAAGTCAGCCCTCTGAATGCTGGGGTTCCCAACCTCACATCCAAAACACAGTCAACCCTTGAACAAGGGTCCGATCAGGATGCTGCCCTGCAGACTCGGACCCCAGAGCTGACCTGATTAGCCTCTGCTCCTTGGCACACTCAGGGGAACTCCGGGCCTGGGTACAGAGTGGCCCTCGGGGTCAGGGATGGCCCCCAGACCGGGGCAAACCCTCAGGCCCATGCCCCCTAAACGGGAAATTCCTTTGAAGTGAGTATAGCTATCAACACAGTTTCATAGAGGAAAGAGGTCAGTTTAAGAGTCCACTAACTTGCCCAAGGCTCCCTGACGAGATGCCCCTGAGCTGGGATACAAATTCCCGTGGCTGTTTTCCTAGTCACTACATTACACCACCTCCCTAACTCAAGGCTGTACGTCTCGATCTGCTTTCTGTAAAACCAGAACTGTCCATGGTTCCTCACTCAGGTATGAGGGAAATTCAATGGCATAATGTACACCACAGCCTGGCACACAGTGGGCCTGCAGGAAAGAATGGGTTTTCAGCAAGCACTGGCTCTTCGCCCTACTTTCAGATTCCCATTTCGGGCAGTCAGCTCTCACCCAGCGATGACCTGCATTTTAAAGGACTTTCAGTGATTCCAATTAGATCCACTCTCTGGTCCTATTTTGTTGCTGTTGGATGTTGCTCTTTTCTTTTCTTTTTTAAATTCTCACTCAAGGACATGCTCATTGATTTTAGAGAAAGGGGAAAGGAGGGAGAGAAATATCACTGTGAAAGAAGCATCAACCAGTTGCCTCTCGCATGCTCTGCACCCAAACCAGGACAGAACGTGCAACCTAGGCATGTGCCCTGACTGGGAATTGAACTTGTGACCTTCTGGTTTGTAGGACACCCCTTCAACCAACTGAGCCACATGGGGCAGGGCCAGATGTTGCTCTTAATGTTGACCTGGAAGAGTCATGGGAGGATGAAAGGGCGGGAGGAAGCAGGGAGACAACCTGGTGCCCGCCTGGTGACGGACACACCTGGTGACGGACACACCTGGTGACTGCTGCTTCCCCCGCCTCCCCTCTGCCCCAGTGGCCGTGGCAAGGTCCTGATTTAACGAAAATAAGAGACTTAGGAGGATTACTTTCCACAGCAACCAAAAATGAGAGACTGTTGAGAGAACTTGGGATGCTTAGCCCAGAGAACAAAGGGTTTATGTGAACCCAGCCAACTGGGTGCTGGCACCTATTTAAAACCAAGGGGTCTTGGGGATCGAGAGAGGCCCAAGCCACTTCCATTGAATGAGGTTTCTGGTGTATTAATGAAAAATGTTTTTTTTTTTTAAGAAAAAATATTTACTAGTTAAAAAATACTGCCCTTGCTGGTGTGACTCAGTAGATTGAGTGCCAGCCTGGGAATCGAAAGGTCGCCGGTTGGATTCCTGATCAGGGCGCAGGCCTGGCTGTGGGCCAGTTCCGCTGTCAGGGGCATGTAAGAGGCAATCAATTGATGTGTCTCATGCACTGATATTTGTCTCCCTGTCCTTCTCTATCCTTTTCCCAATATCTAGAATAAATAAAGAAATCTGAAAAAATACCAGAGCAGGCTTATAAATATAGTTGACTCTTGAACAGCAAGTGTGGGGTTGGGGGAGGCCAACTCACCCCCCTCACAGTTGAAAATCCGGGTATAATCTAAACCAGCCCTCTGAGTACTGGGATTCCTGACCTCACATCCAAAACACAGTTGACCCTTGAACAAGGCGGGTTTGAACTGCATTGGTCCACTTCTATGTGGATTTTAAACAACCTTAAGTGTTACATTTAACAAATGTTAACACAAAATACTATGGTAATCACAGAATACTTACCAGATATATGTATTTTTAAAAATCTTAATTCATATTGAACTGCAGGCAATGTTGGCAGGTAATGGAACGTGAACTTTTTTCAACCCTGGCAAGGTACTGAAAGACAAGGTCAACACTTGTGGTTTGAGGGTGGGTCTCAGAGTGAGCTCTGTCTCTGTGTTTGTCGGTAGATCCATCCTAAGGGGGAGGCGACATTCTACAAGCCACGGAGGTCGGAGTGGCCCTGGCCTGTAGACCCTTGGAGAAGGGTCAGAGTGCCGACAGCTGCCTACCTCGGAGCGCTGCGCTCCTGCAAATAGTCCGACTCTGAGATTTGGGGCAGAATGGGAAGTAGTGAATTATTACTCTTTTAGCATATATTTAGGGTTTCTGTGCAGCCGGAGCAGTGATTTTTAATTCATGTGGGTTCAAGGAACCTTCTGAAAATCTGATTTAAAAAAAACCCTGGACCTTCTTTCCAGAAGAATTCTATCTCCCCACCCACTCACCCACACACAGTACCCCCGCCACGTTCCCAGAGGAGGAAGTCTTTCGCACTCTCTAGGACGTCTCTCTGCCCCGAATTCCGTCCCAAGCCCTGCCTGGCACGTGGGAGCCCTGCCCTGGTGCAGGCTGCCTGCCAGGTGGGGGACTGAGTGTTGCGGTGCTCGGCTCTCGGCCACAGACACGCTCCACCCTCTACTGGTCCTGGGACCTGAGAGGCGCAGCCGGAGCCTGGCGGGGACCGGAGGAGGCACCGCCCGGCCCCCCGCCCCACCTGCTGCCGCCGGGGGCGAGGGGGAAGCGGCAGCAAGCCCCGCCCGTGACGGCGTGGCCAGCCTGGGTGCGTCCACCGCCCCGGCTCAGAGCTAGGACGCGTCGCTGCAGGTCGGGCTCCTGGGCTGCTGGCCGAGCCTGGACTCGGGTCCCTACCAGCGCCACGGGTCCGGCTGCTCCGCCGCATCCCCAACCGAGACTCGCGGACCGGGACCGCGCCTCCGCAGCCACGTGAGCCATGAAGACGCACTTCTGCATCCCGGTGTCCCAGCAGCAGCCGGAGGCGCTGGGGGGCCGCTACACGGTGCACTGGGGCCGGGGCTGGGGCCGGGCTGGGGCCGGGGGCCGGGGGCGGGTTCCCACCGGGCAGGGACGGGGCGCCACGGCGGGGGCTCGCCTGCTCGCGGGGCTATTCCGAGCCCGGACCTCTCTGTGTTTGCAGCTCTACTCCGTGTACCTGGACGGGTTCCTCTTCTGCAGGGTGCGCTACAGCCAGCTGCACCGCTGGAACGAACAGGTGAGCGGGTCCAGGCGGGTTCCAGCTCGTTCACCTGACGCACGTGAGCAAAACTGCGCCCAGTGGACCCCGGGCTCGTGGCTCTGGCAAAATCCGAGGCCCTTTAAGGGCTCCTGGCACCAAATCTTCGAGACATAGTCGTGGTAAGGATCGGTTGTGAATTATTTGGCACAGAACTCAGTGGATACACGTTGCTGCTCCGAATCATCTGCAGCTAGGAGATGAGGGACCGGGGTGCAGGTGATGCTTCCAAACTTTTTCCCGCCCAATGATCGACCCCTATCCCGCCCCCACAGTCCCCCCTGGCAGGGCCGGTTCACAGCCCGCTCTTCCCCAGGACGACGCCCCCACTCACAATGAGCAAACCAAGTCCAGACCAAGGAGTAGTCAGGAATCGTGTACGTGGGCATTTAATACTCTTCCTCCCGGTTACCCCCCTCTCTTAAGTTTACCCCTCTGTGAAAAGGTGTGTCTGTATTTTTGTTTCCAAACGGCTGGTTTCATAGTCTTTAAGTACTGGCAGGCGTGGGAGCCCTGGAGACAGATGACAATATCAAGAGGGGACGGCACTTCTCACACAGTTTCTCATCCCGAGGTCTCGACGGCATTTTCTCTGGGACGCAGACTGATGTATTAGCCTGTTTTAATGTGGGTCGTTTTTTTTTTTTTTTCCCAATAAGGGAATGTTGAAAGTCTTCAAAATGGATTAAAGGAGTGAAGTTGAGAAATAAACTTCACCAGGTCTCCAAACCCATCCCATACACAGTTTTTTTCTTTTTGTTTATTTATTTTTTAGATTTTATATTCTGATTATAAAGAGGAAAGAAGAGAAAAGAAAAAGAGACTCTTGCCCAGAGAGCAGCTATAAACACTTTGGGCGGAGTCCTTTCAGGCACTCTCTGGGTCTCTAGTGAGCAGATCCGCGCAGTTCCCTTCCCCATCCTCTGTCCGTGGACAGTTCAGTTCCACTCTTCTGCCGGCACCCTCCCTGCAGCCAGCCTTCTTGCTCATACACTGTATGAATTTAAAAAGCCCATTTTCAAGGTATGACTAAGTATCTTTGAAATCAACAAAAACCAGCTGCAACATTCATATGTGGGGTCATCTTTGGGTTGTTAGTGCCTGGCACCCAGTGGGTCCCCAGCAATGATTGGCGGAAGGGCGTCAGTTCAGACTTGTGAAAGATGGGAAGCTGCTTGTGACCAAAACATGTTTGGAGGGCTGGGAAGACTGCCCGCGGAGATCTCGAAGGAAAAGGAATGATAGGTAGGCGTTTTAAGTGTTTGAAGGAGGAAGTTGAGGTATCATCTTCTGCTTTCCACTTGTCTGTCTTCCTGCAAGTGAGGTGGGACTGGGCAGGAAGCCCGTACAAGGTAGGTGGTAAGCAGGAGACAGCAGGGGGGCGCAGGGAGATTGTGGAATCGGGTGACCACTCCCTGACTCACCTCTTTTCTGACCTTCAGTTTTCTCATTAGAAATAGTAAGTAGCTCTGGCCGGGTGGCCCTGTTGATTGGAGTGTCATCCTGTTCACCAGAAGGTTGTGGGTTCAATTTCCAATCAGGACACATGCCTAGGTTGTGGGTTTGATCCTTGGTTGGAGTGCATATGGAAGGCAACCAATTAATTTCCCTCTCTCTCTCTCTCTCTCTCTCTCTCTCTCACTCCCAATACCGCCCCCCTCCCGGCCTTTCTAAAATCAGTAAATATATCCTTGGATGAGGATTTTAAAAAGGAAGAAAGAAAGAATAAAAAAAATAGGTGATTATGGATGTCAGTGTCACAGGGTACTTGTGAAGTTCAGGGGCCAGTATCTCGTACAGCCTGGCACACAGTACATGCTCAGTAAACACCAGCAAACTCAGGGTTGGAGAATTCCTGGTGCTCCTTAACCAACAGACTCAGGAAAGTGCGTGCTTTCAGAAACATTCAGCCCAATCAAATCCTAGCAGGCCCAGAAGCGGAGACATAAAGTGAGCTAACTTGGTCTCCTATTTTGCAAGCCATGAACAAGACGCCATTTGAAATTCACTGCAGTGGAGTCTTAAATGTTGAACTCCACGCCTCAGTGCCCTCTGTGGGGCATCAGTGGCCTTTAAGGAATACTTCATGATAGTCCCAGATTTCTCAAAATCCTAAAGTGGACATTATTCAGTTTCAAACTACCTCACACCTTGCCCTATTGTTTCCTCTTTCTGTAGCAACAACTCCATTTTAAATAAATTATTTAGATCTTAGGTAGCTGTTGGTATTTATTATTAATTTATAACAATAACTAACAATTAGGCAGATACTGCATGCTAAGTCTGATGCTAAGAACATGTACTAGTGTGTTTAATTTTTATAGCAGTCCCATGAGCTGGGATTATAGTTAGTCCCATGTACCAGATGAAAAAACTGAGGCACAACTTGCCTAAAGTCATACTGCTGGTAAGTGTTGGAAGCAGGATTTGGTTTCCAGAACCTGCTCAGACCCATTCCATTTTGTGGGGGTTTTTTTTCCACCATAGTTGACAAAATAAATTGTGTCAATAAAACAATTGAGTCAAATCCTCAAGCTCTAAACTACTGTGTTTTTCTCTATTTTGGAATAACTTAATGACATCCCCCAATTTGGAATGTTTAGTGTGATGAATCTTGGTAAACATGTACAATTACCACCACCACCACCGTAATCAGGCCAGAGAACAGTCCCTATATTCTAAAAGTTCTTTTGTCTCCTTCGCCCTTGATCCCCTCCTTCCACCTCTGGCCCCAGGCAGCCAACATCTGCTTTCCGTCATCAGAGCTCCGGGCACAGGAGTTAATTCTAGCTCATTACTCCCATTTTATAGATAGTCTGAGTACAGTCAGCAGATTTAGCAAATGAAAATACAGGATCCCCAGTGAATTTCAGATAAACAACACACACCTCTTTAGTATAAATATGTCCCAAGCAGTATTTGGGACATCATTGGACATTCAGTATTTTGTCTGGCAACCCTGAGTCTGAGACTAAAAGTTTGGGTGATCTCTTCTAGCCATTTCTCATCTAGATTTTATTCTTCCTATTCCACAGATGATATGAACCAACTCAGAATTTGTTTTTTCTTTCAAAGATGTTATTTATTTTATTTTTAGAGAGAGGGGGAGGGAGGGGTAAAAAGAGGGAGAGAAGTATCAATGTGTGGTTGCCTCTCACATGGCCCCCACTGGGGACCTGGCCCACAACCCAGGCATGTGCCCTGACTGGGAATCGAGCTGACGACCTTTCGGTCTGCAGCCTGTGCTCAGTCCACCGAGCTACAGCAGCCAGGGCTGGCTCAGAATTCTTAATCTGATTTAATACAAAGCACTATAAAGAGGAAAACAATATAAAGGCCCCATTCGTGTTTGTGTGTGTGTGTGTGTGTGTGTGTGTGTGTGTGTATTTGGTGAGTGTAAGTGTATTTCTAGTTGGTTTCCTGGGAACTTCCACATGTCCATAGAATAGAAACTTTATCTTATAGAATTAACTGACTATTCATGTACTTAAGAAATATTTACTGACTTCCTGTTAGATGCCATGCACTGTGTTGAACTAAGTGGAGACTCTGACTTGAGCACAGGAGATTTTTGACTGAGAACTGGGTTTCTGTTTTGTGAGCTGGGTAACTCTGAGGCTGAGGATGAGTACCTGGCTCAGGCCAGGTGGGCCCTGCACCTCCTCAGCCACGCTATGTAGAAGCCAATGCCATAGGATCGAAACTGAGGAGAGACAGTTGTGTTTCCAACAGGTCAGTTGTGACCTGAGCGCCTTCTAAGACACCGCAGCCCTGTCCCCAAGTGAGGCATCCTCGGTCTGGTAGTTTGCCCCTCTGCTGAGAAATGCTGTCCATCCCTCTGCCCTGTGAACTGCCTGACCTGACCGCTTCTTCTGCGTCTTCAGACCATTAAAGCCAGTGTGACGTATGCCCCCGCCCTTGCCAGCAGCACCCCCTGCAAATGAAATCAGTGAAGGAACTGGCTCGCTTTGGCCAAGCGTGAGGGTGTCTGCGTAAGTGCTGCTCAACTCTGTGAAAGGGTGCTTGCCTCTGCATATATTCTAGCATCAGACATGGCAATGGGGACGAGATCTGGATGCTGGCAAAGAATCCTGCGGTGGGAGAGGAGGGCACCGGTTTACTCTTCGTCCCTGCCTGGTGCTGACCCAGCCTGGCTCCTTCCCCTCCTTTAGCCAATCTCCCCACTTCCCCATTCAAACCCTCTATTCCCATCAAGCTGGCCCACTCCTTGTCTCTGCGTGACTCCTTCCCCCTCCCAAGAAGACCCCTGCTTCTGGCCCACTGGTCAGGGGCCAGCCCTTTCTCAAGGCCCACCTCCAGCCTCACCTCCTCTGGGAAGTCCCCCTCGATGGCATGATATGCCTTCCTCCAATTCCTGTACCACTTCATGTTTAGACTTATCATGTTCTTCTTTTTTTAAGTCCTCACCAGAGGATTAGCTTATTGATTTTAGAGAAAAGAGGAAGAGAGAGGGAAAGAGAGAGGGAGGGAAACATCAATGTGAGAGAGAAACATTGATTGGTTGCCTCTCGTACACGCCCCAATCAGGGACCGAACTCACCGCCTAAGTCATGTGCCCTGGCTGGGAATTGAACCCAAAGCTCTTCGGTTTACTGGACAACTCTCCAAATGGCTGAGTCTCAGCTGCCAGGGCTTCTGTTCCTCTTCTTGTGTGTATATTTTTGTCTCCCCTGATTATTTAGTTGCAAACCTCAAATATTTAAATAAGCAATAAATGAAGTCTGCTGGCATGCATACCCAGCCCAGAATCCCACTTTAGTAGTTGCTCAATAGAGATTTGGTGTGGGAGAAGGGAAGTGAGGGGGAGGAGAGTGAAAGGCGGGGAAAAGACAGTGTCCAGGTTCCGCCACCCATTCCCATGTAGGGCCTTGGTTTAAGTCACTTCATCTCCCTGAGTGTCAGGTTACTCCTCTTGTCAAGTAACCTCGTCAAGGTGGAGGAATGTCGTCCTGGACCCTGTCTCAGTGGGAGAATGGCAGTGTTCATGGGGACCGTGCCCATCTGCCCCACAGGCAGTTCTGAAGGATAAAGGAGATGATGTACAAGCTTCAGGCTGATGTTCTTTGGTATCAGATGCCACAGACCAGGTTGCTCTTTAGCCCAAGAATCTGGACTTTTGATTACAAGGGGCCTTGGAAAAGTGGGATGAATGAGCCAACATTAGAAACAGGGGCTGTTTGTGTCTGTCATTTTACGTGCGTGTCAGTCACCACCCTGGGACAGGTGTGCGGGCTGTGAGTGCACAGTGTGAGAAAGGAGGCGATGCTCCATGATTGGTCAGTGAAGTCCTCTTTCTGTTAAAAGGTGGAACTGCACAATGGGGAAAGTGGTGAAGGAGATTGTGCTGGGATTAAAATATATATTTTTATTATATATACATATATATTATATATATTATATATGTATATATAGACATTGTCTTGTTTATGAACATTGTCTTAAAAAAAGGACCAAAACCACTTCATGATAAACGAACAGAATATGTTTTCCTTTTGATCCCTTGAAACAATTTTTGAAAGGGTGGGCTAAACTATAATGGCAGATAATTCTCAGCATGTTACTGGTTTTCACACCTGAACTATGTGCTGTCTGAGATCAACAGAAAAGGCTATATTGGGGCAGAGACGAAGGACTTGTGTAGGTGATGAGTGACTTCTGGCGGACTTACCTGCAGCTCATTATATACTTACCTTCCCCTTCCAGCAGTGTTAGAGAAGAGAGGGGAACGGTTCTCTGAGCAGTCAGCTCAGGTTGTGAAACCTGCTGGGAGAGTTTGGGCTCTGTGGTGGGTATTGGAACCTGGATTCCTGTTGACTTTCCCCCCAGGTCTTGGCCTTAGGGTAGAGGCTTCTGCAAGATGCTCCTCCTGCATATGCTCAACCCAGGTGGCCCTGCTGGCTCAGCGCTGCTGTGATTTCAACCAATTGGGGAGCAGCTGTGACATTTCTGAACACATGCCAAGGAAGACAATTGCCTTTTAAAGATCACTTAATTGGTTAATCAAGAAATAATTGCATGCAAAGAAGACAGGATTCTGCTTCTATTTAAAGGAATTAGCAGTGATGGGGGTGCATAAATTCCAGGGTGCATAAATCCGAGGGCACTGGAGCTGCCTGCTGGGCACAGGTGCCTTTGGACAATCTCTGGCATGGTGGGAAGAGTTCCTTGAATTTAAAAGAAGCAGAATTTTTGCTGTAATATTTTATACTGCTAGATCTAGAAGAATGTTTGCACACTTAAATGGCTACAAAAGTCAGGCAGGTGATTTAAGTAAGAGGCATGGATCGGACAAGAGGCCGTGGGGAGGGGTGGGAACTGCTTAGGTCTCTAAGGGGGGTGGTTGCCTGAGACAGTGGGAACCCAGTGACTCCAGACCTTCGGATTTTTCAAGAGAAGCCAGAACTCAATTTATAAAAAATAGGCTTTAATTTCCTAGACCAGTTTTAAATTTACAGAAACATTGCAAAGATAGTACCGAGTTCCTACATAGCCTGCACCCAGTTTTCCCTGTTGTATTCCATTAGTAGGGTGCACTTGTTCCAGTTGGTGAACCAGCACCAGTACAGTATTATTAACTCTAGTTCACGATTTACTCAGACTTCAGTGTTTATGTAATGTCCAACCTCTGTTTCGGGATCCCACCCAGCACATCACGTTACGTTTAGTTGGGACATCTCCTTAGGCTCCTCTTAACTGTGGCAGTTTCTCAGACTTCATTGTTTGTAATGACCTGGACTGTTTCGAGGAGTGTCAGTCAGGCGTTTTGTGGAAGGTCCCTCTATCGGAATCTGATGTTTTACGTGACTGCACTGGCTAGGGCGACCCCAGAGGTCAAGCGCCATTCTAATCACATCATATCAAGGGTACCTACTCTCTACACAACTTACCACTGTTGATGTTGACCTTGATCACCTGGCTGAGGTAGTTATTATCAGGTTTTGCCACTGCGGAGTTATTCTTTAACTCTCTGTCCATAGTGTATCCTTTGGAAGTCACCGTGTATAGCCCACGCCGACAGAGTTGGGAATTATACTCTGTTCCTTGTGAATGCATGTTGACATGAATTATTTGATTCTCTGCACAGGAGATTTGTCTATTCTCTCCTATATTTTTATTTATTCAATAATGTATTTATACTCATATGGGCTCCTGGATATCTACTTTATACTTTGAGTTATACTTCAATATGACTTTATTTTGTTGCTCAAATTGTTTCAGCTTTGGCCTGTGGGAACTCTTTCAATTTGCTCCTGTGTCTCTGATATACCCCTATTGTTGATTTTTTGTTAGCATTTTCTTATTTTCTGGTGCTACAAGATGCTTCAGATTCATCTTTCATATTTCCTACGTTGGCCATTTCCCCACGGAGCCCCAGTAGCTTTTACTGGAGAACAGGATCAGAGACCGAGATCTGGACACCAGGTGTGTCCTTTGTCACGTCAGTGCGGCTGTTACCAGGCCCTCTCGACTGACAGCGTAAGGACTGTATGTGTGTGGAGCTTATCTATAGACGGTTTAACATTTAACTGTCTGGGTTTCTGTTAAACTACACATGAGTCCATACCAATATCTCCATCTACAGTCCATGACCACACGGATCGCTGGAGCTTCCTCACCTCCCTTTTCTGAAAACTCCCATCCAACTGGAGAAACCCGGTTCCCACCACCTGCCATCTTTTTACTTAAGTGTTCGATTCTGTCCACACACAGCGCAGGGTTAGAATTGTTAACCTGTGGCCCCGTGGGAAACAACTCTGTCAGCTGGAGCACAGTGCTTCTGGACAGTTTCTGTGGCCTTAGGGTGCACAGACTCCACTCACTTCCAAAACGGCTTAGGTCAGCATCTTCCCCCTTCGCTGCAACATTCCATACATTTGTAATATAGTTAAATTCTTCTGTCACATTCTGCATTCCGTCCTGGGTTTTGCCCCACCTCCTAAGTTGTTTTTCAGATATTTTTGCACATTAAGTTGTGTTGTAAAGTTTAGTAGGTTGACAAATGTGTGGTACTGTGCGTGTACACACAGGGACAGTGTTACACAAAACAGTTTCACTGCCCTAAAAACCTCCACGGGCTTCACCCGTTCAACACCCTCCCACCCCAAGCTCCCGGTTACCACAATTTTCTCTTCTACTATTGCTATAAGTTTGTTTTTTCAAAAATGTCATATATTTAAAATGAAACAGATTACAGCTGTTCCAGACTGTCTTCTTTCACTTGTCGATCTTCTTTTCAATTTTCACCATGTCTTTTCAAGGCTTGGTGGCTCATTTCCTTTTATTGCTGGATGATATGCCATCATCTGGGTACACCACAGTTTGTTTATCCAATGCCATATTGAAGGACAACTTGATTGCTTTGTATTTTGGGCAGATATGAATAAAGTAGCTATAAGCATTCACCAGCGTGTTTTGTGGACATAGTTTTCAAATCTGTGGACTATATACCTAGGACTGTGATTACTGGATATTGCATGGTAAACATTAGCTTGTGAGAAATTGCCAGACGGTTCCAAAGTGGCCGGGCCATTCTGTAGCTCATTCAGGACACGAGTGGTAAACATTTTGAATCACAAAATTAAGATTGGAATCAAATTCAAATTCTCTAAAAATCAAACACCCCAAACAAAACACATCAGAAAACAGGAAACTTTGTAGATTTCAGACCAGCACTGTCCGACAGAATTTTCTGTGCTACTGGAAATGCTCTAGATCGGCTTTGTCCAATTCAGTAAGAACGTGCCACGTTTCGGGTAGTTACTGAGCATTTGAAGTGTGGCTGGTATGACTGAGAAACTGAATTTTAAATTTTATTTCATTTTAATTTAAGTTTAAATTTAGGTAGTCATAGGTGGCTAATGGACATCATATTAGATAGCACAGGTCTAGGTCATTTTAAGGGTTTTTTGCTTTCACTCGAGGGAGGTGGGAAACCAGGAACGGTTTTGAGCAGGGCGGGGCAGGGCAGTGATCTGTACTGGGAATAGACTGAGGGTGTTAATGCTGTAGACAGAGAGATCTCTTGGAAGGCTACAGTAACCTGAAAAAAGATGACGGGGCATGGACGAGGGCAACAGCAGTGGGGCAGGGAGGAGTGGTCAGATTCCCCGTGCATTTTTGGAGGTAAGGCCTATGCGAGGTAAATATTGGCCAAATACACCCTGCATTTGTAACAAAAACCATGGAATTAAAATCCTTACCTGGTTGCAGTCTCATTTCTCTTCGATCTGCTTTTATTTCTTTAAGCCATTGACTGTGGTAATAGTAGGAATTGCAGCCCTCTGCTCTGGAGGTACCTTGATCAAACCTGACTGGATCTCACACTGGTTTCCTTTCTCCTGTTTTAAAGAGAGCAATACCATGCCTTATCTGCAAGCTGCCGCTCTAAGTATAGGGCTAGAATGAAGGCACATGCCCTTTTGGTTATTTAAAGATTATTTTTAAATCATCTTTAACCCTTCCACCAGGAAGGGTTAATTTTAAATAAAGTGCCAGAACAAGATGTGCCGTAAGAGGAGTCTTTGGTGCCTCACCAACCCTGAGTTGGAGGTTCTTTGCCTTCAGCATGTGTTTTCTGGATCTTTCAGCTGAGACGGGTCTTTGGAAATAGCCTGCCTCCCTTTCCACCGAAGTACTATCTTGCAATGACCACATCTATGGCCAATGAGAGAAGGGACCAGTTGGAGCAGTATTTGCAAAATGGTAGGTATTTTTTAAAACAAATTTACTGAGATGTAGGTTGCACAGTATAAACCCACTTACCTAAAGTGTACAATTCAGTGATTATTAGTCTGTTTATGGGATTGCACAACTGTACCATGATCTAACTTGAGAGCATTTTCCTCACTCCAAAAAGGAACCTCACACCTATCACAAGTCAATCTCTAGGCTTCTCCACCACCAGCCCCCATCGCCCACGCCACTAATTCCTGTCTTTCCAGCTCTGCTCGTTCTGGACATTTCAGATAAATGGAAGCATGTAACATGCAGCCTTTCTATTTGGTTTTTAAAATACTTCTCTCTAATTTATTTTATTGTAAGAGTACTATATATAATACACATAACATACAAAATGCATGTTAATCGACTACCTTATCAGTAAGTCTTCTGGTCAACAGGAGGCAATGAGTAGTTAAGTTTGGGGGGAGTCAGAAGCCATACAGTGGTGTTCGACAGTATGGGGGTCAGCATGCCTAACCCCCACATTGTTCGAGGGTCAACCTTATACAGTGAAAGGCACGTTCCCTTCCACCCCAGACCCCCAGGCTTCTCAAAGTGGACACTCCTGCAGGCAGGTGGCTTGGGGGTCCCTCTGAAACCGTCTCTGTGTCTACTAGCGTGCGTGCCTGACTATCCAACACTAACCAGAACTTACTCTGCGCTTTTTTGTGTCTGATTTTTAAAACCTTTTTATTCTGAAATATGCCCCGACTTTTAAAAAGTTGCAAAAAGTAATGCAAAATTCTGTATACTGTTCACTCAGACTCCCCAAATGTTAACATTTTACATTTGCTTTATCATTCTCTCACTCTCCTGCACATGTGTGTACTTATTCATATATATTATATATAATTTTTTAGATACATTGTTTCACACACAAGGCACTTTACCCTTAAATACTTCTGTGCATATTTTCTAAGATCAAGGATATTCCCTTCTATAACCACAGTATAGTTATCAAAATCAGGCATTTCACAGTGATACCATAAAGTTACCTAGAAACCTTATTCCAATTTCACCAACTATCCCAATGATGTCCTTCAGAACAAAAGAAAAAAAAGATTTTTCTTCTTTATGTTGTTTTTATCCTCTTACAATATATATCTTATAGATCATCCTAGGTCAGCAATGACCCGTTTACTTTGTTACTGCTCATAGCTGCACATATTTCTCAAGCACAGTAAATAAAAATTCCAGAAGTCATCTCTTTCCCACTCACCTTTTATAACAGAGAATATACCTCTTTCAGCCCTGTTCAAGAAGTAATACTTCTTGAAAATGTAATACTTTAAGCCCAAACTGTAATACTTTTTGAGTTTTCATTCTCTCTTGGTTTCTTTTCTCCCATCTTAGAGAAATACTCCTTTAACCACTGGCCTTTTCACCAGTAATCACAGTGCTTGAGGGGTCAGCTTCCCAGGCCAGGCCTTTTATCCACATCATCAGCATTACTTGGGCATCCTCTCTGGCCAGGTGGATACTGTGCGACTCGGGCGAGCATGGAGGCCTGGGGTTGGTGTGATGGGTCCAACTCGTCATCAAGGCTGCCTGGAGGAAGCGAGCTTTGCAGCGTTTGGTGTGTGTGAGAGGTCACAGGCTCCACTGCTTTCTAGGAGGCCGCAGGGCTTGGGGGCCCCCTGGAGGTCAGAGTGGTGTAACAGGGAAGTCAGCCCAGCTCCACGCTAACCTGGCCTCCTCTCCATGTTTTCCAGTAACCGTGGACCCGGACGTGCTGAGAAGTGACGTCTTCATTGACTTTTTAAAACTGGTACAGCTGGTAAGCTTACTCTTCTTTACTGAGGTCATTATTTCACGGCAGAATATGTCTCTTCGTTAACCACGCCTGTGTTTCCGGCATCAGCCCAGCAGAGGCTGCACTCAGGTGAAACACGCTCATTTGGAGCACAGGGGAGGATGGGTCCTATTTTGTCCTTTTGGAGGTCTAGATTCTGGATGGAAGATTAAGAGTGTCATTTTAGCTCATTTTAATACAGTGGGTAACTGTTTTTTTCTGTAGCCTAAGCATTCATTGTACACTTCGAAACCGACCATGGAAAAGAGAACCTTTTATCACTCAGGGCCCTGGGCAAAGCAGGGATGTAGTTTCTGTAGCGGATATTTCCACACGTGCTGTGGGGAAGCCTACAGGGCAGCACCCATAGCCACGCCCCCATTATCTGTACATTCTCTGTTCCTGCTGTACAGGGCAGGGCAAAAGTAGGTTTACAGTTGTTTGTGTGGAAAGTAACACAATAATTAATAAATAACAGTACAAGAGTAAACTGTGTTTTGTGTAAACCTACTTTTGTCAACCCCGTATTGTAAGTGGATCACAGAGCAAATCCGAAGGGAGTGGAATGAAACACAGCCGCTCACTCCCGTTTGTGGGTCTAAACCGCTTCCAACATGTCCGATAGAGGCTGGAACTTTGCCAAGACCCTTGTTTAGTGCATCACTCATTCTAGTTGTGTATGTGAACATTTTCATGGCTGAATGGAAGAACTTGGAAAGGTCTCGTTGTACAATAATATGATATTACTAAACTGGTTCCCTAGGTTGGGGAAGAATAATAGCTTGATCAGATTTGTAAGAAGTGGAAGCAGATTTTGTTTATTTAGTCATTCAACTGCGTTGCTAACTCTGGTCCACTCAGCCTGAGAAGTGACCCTAGAGGCTTCTCTTGTGTAGTCATTTGTATTTTCCCGTATATTTGATGGGGTACAACACAAACACACACACACGCTTTCCTTTTGTTGGGAAAGTCTGTCGTGGTGGCAACAACACTCAAACAGCGCACAACTGATAGCAGTGACACCGAAGGCCTCAGAGGCAGCACGGCTTACAGTTCAGTGGGCGCTCTTCACGTTTCTGTGCACACACAAACATTCACATGTGCACACCTCCTTCCTGCTTTACAAATAGGCACATACTCCTACCTGCTGTCTGAATCCTGTGTGTTAAAGCTCACATGTTGCAAATCATTGCATGTCAGCGATGACATTGCATGTCAGTGCAGAGGGGCGACTGGCCTGGACTCTCTCACCTCTTTGTGTGCACACTGTGGGTTTGCTTTTGTGCTTTTTAAAAATCACACATGGGTATTGATGACTTGGAGCTTTGTTTTGAGTGCCTTTTTTGCTGATAATTTAGTTCTCTTAGTATTTTACCTTTATGACTTTATGCAGAAGTCTTATGCTCCAGCTGTGTTTGTCCGTGTCTCTTCTTGCCTCTTCTGACAAGATTTTCACAATGGTTTTATTTTTCCCCTTCCATTCTCAGTTCTCCCAAGGATGACCCATAACGAGGGCCATTCTAAATGCCTAGGGGAGTGCGAACTCACCGCATCCAGTGGATATTAGGGCAGTAGGGGTTAATCCTGTCACAGAACCTGGGGCGAGAAAGTCTGGGACCTGAATCGCAGAGATGAGACAGCTCTGTGAACTGACAGGATCCCATTTGTGAGGTGCTAGAAAGAGCGCGCCCCCAGATGCGGCACCCCCACGAGGCCCACCGGGGCGGGCACTGGCCATGCCTCCTCCTGGGGTCCCTCTCTCTATGGAAACTGAGCACTAGTCTGTCTCAGCTTCGAACTTTCCTAAACTCTGATGGCCTTTCCAGTGTCTGTAGTGTGCCCTTGACATTTTGAAGCATTCTGTCCAAGAACCTCACAGGTCCCGGGATCTGTGCGCACCCCTAGCCTACACGCATGCCCTCACGGACTCAGGGGCGCGGCAGCACTGCGCTGAGCGGGTGGTGTGGGCCCTTGGCTGGGTGCCCGCACACAGGTACTGCTTGCTTCCACATAAGGGCATCAGAGCTTGCACACTTCTGATTTTTGTTGTAGCAGGATCATACATTAATGCATTTTATGGACTTGTAGGGAAGCTTGGAAATATTAAAAATGGGAGTTAAAAATCTGAAACCACCAAGGGTCACATGGATGATTTTTTTCCCTAAAATGTTGTTTATTTGATAATTATTCAAGCTACATGTCATTACATTGCCTTTGACCCTCTCCACACCCCTCCCAACCCCCGCCCTGTCCTCCAAAACTCCACCCCCCAAATCTCTACCCTGGGCTCTCGTGTGCTTCTGGGTACTGCAGACCTTCAGGGCCCGGGGAGAGGACACTGCTGACTGTCACCCCCATAAGGTGCCCCACCGAGGTCTCTGTGGGGCTCACTGTGCTTTCCCTTTGCTCACAGGACACGTTTAGCGTCACCACCAAGAAAGTCTCTCTGGACATATTTCTGCCCGACGGAAGAGGCATTCGCATCGAAATCCTAACGTCAGACACCGCTGAAAGAGTCCTAGAGGTAAACTTCACCTAAACTCCAGCCCCAGGACTGAATGCAGGCAGCAGTGTTTGAAGGCGGGGACACAGTTGCCTTCTGGAAGCTTCCTGCCGAGTACGTCACTCTGGGTGACTTGTCTGCAGAGATGCTGGGGTTTTCTGGTAGACTGGCTGCGGCTCAGTTACAGCCAGTCCCAGGGCCTTGTTAAAATTGTTTTTGGATTAATTGCTTAGAGAGAGAGAGGAAGGGACAGGCAGAGAGAGATTTGTTGTTCCACTTATTTGTGCATTCATTGGTTGATTCTTGCATGTGCCCTGACCAGGGATCGAACCCGCAACCTTGATGTAGTGGGACAGTGTTCTAACCAACTTAGCTACCTGGCCAGGGCTCACCAGGCCTCTTTGGTTTTGCTTTCCCTGTGGGTATCAACTTTCTGGAGATCTTTTAGAACCTTCCTAAAGCTACCTTCAGTCCCCTCAAACTCAGCCAGGGATGTGCTCTGTTTCGGGGTTATGGGGTGGCCCACAGTTGGGAGCAGGAAGGAGGCTGGTGCCCAGATGGGCCTGAAATGGGCCACACCCAGGTGGGCTGGCAACAGGTTCTGGGAGAGAGTGCTGCAGGTTCCTCAAGGGCTAAAAGAGTTGTCCTTCCTCCCTCACAGGGACAGCCCTGAACCAGCACCCCAGCAGGTCTAGTTCTGTGGCAGACCTGCGTTTAGCTGCTTCTCTGAGGACTCCGAGAGCGAGACCCAGAGAGCATCCTCTGCTCCCTTGGACGTGGCCGTGGCCAGCCCTGCCCCGGGCCTGCCCTCCCTCTGAGCTGTGGAGGGGACACCACCTTCTCACACCCACACACTGTTCCCAGGCCCCTTTCCTTCAGAGAGTTTTAGTTCTAATCCTCCAGAGACACACACAGGAGAATAAAAAGTTATAAATGGGAGGAAGTGGGGAAGTTTCTAGGACCTTGCCAAGGACAGATCGTTCTTGTGCCGGGTCCGCGGTGTCTGCCGCCTTTTGAGCCTGAAATGAGCAGAAGTGCCCCCATGGGGCTCCCAGCTCCCGCTCAAGTCCACTTGCCTTTACCTGAGACCCTGTGTGTGTGTGTATCGGAGGGTTCTTTGTATGGCGACTCTCTCCGGCCTGGAGATTTCAGCCCACTCGTATCCTTCTGGCCTCAGGAGCGCAGGCTGTGTTCCCAGGTGGGAAACGCCCTTTCCCGATTTGTAGGCTCTGCCCGAGCGTGACCAGTTTGGACGTCTCTTCCTGCTGAAGCGACCGCACACTCCCCACCCCAACCTCTGCATGGCCCCTGCATTGTGGCCCCGGGCGCGTGGCGTCAGCAGCTACCTAGTGCATCCATTGAGAAGTTTCCCCAGACGCCTCCTCCTTCGCCCCAGACTCCTGCCACTGTACCCCACATGTCTCCTCTAGTCACCCCTGTTCCCCTGTCTTCTCCTCTCAACCTCCATGCCCCTAGTTCGAGCCCTCGTCATTCTTACCCAGATTTCTACAGCAGCCCAGGAAATAGTCTTCCTGCTTCCAGTCTTGCTAATCTTCTGCACAGATTTTCAGAATGATCTTTCTAAAAAGCATCCAAGGCCTTTATGCTTAATGCTTGAGGGGATTTATACCAACTCCCTGCCCTTCCAGCCCCACCCCCACCCCCACCAGCCACAACGGTTCCTTCAGTTGCCCTGCTGGGACCTACAAAATGGGACACAGATACGTAAATGAAGGAGGAGGAGGATGGTGGTAGGGTGGGGACCTTAAAGTAGATGCCTCTGGGGCCAGGCAGGTAACTCAGGTGCTGCGGGCGGATGTAAGATCATTTGAAAATGGTTGGCCCCTGGAGCCCCTGCCCTGCCTGGCCACACCATCGTTGACATGTTTGCGCACCCTGGCCTCGCTGGCCAAGACACACCTGCAGCTGGCTGCTGGTGGCAGGTTCGGGTCTCCTATGTGCTGAGGTTAGGACGAGTCCTGGATTCAAAGGACAGTGCTGTCACACCATAGCCGTGTGAGTTTGGGTAAGTCACTTAATGTTTCAAGACAACGTCTAAGTAATTATAGAAATACCTCATGTTCCATCAACAGTGGTGGTTCTGGGTGTTTATTATCATTGGAATTATCGCTGTTAGAGGCAGCGCTGAGCAAGCATTGCGCTGGGCAGTAAGGGTAGGGTCCCACGGTGCCATCTGTTTCTGCCCAGTCCCCCTGTAACTAATAGCATAAGTTTAATCAGACACATTTGCCATCTCAGAAAGATGCACTTCCTCTCTTCCAATCTCACATCGGCCTGTGAGAGACTCCCCCATGACTCTGACGTCATTAGCATCAGGTCCGTTTAACCGGAGGTTCTGCCCTTAAAGGTACAGTGGTTCCACAACAGGTACAGTGAGCCCTCGGCCGGCAGACCTGCGTATTCTCTTCCAGGGGCTGGAAATTCTCTCACCTGCAGGACAATGTAATTTAAACTTTGTAATTAAAAATCACAGTCTGCCTCTCCGCACGCCTACTTGCCGCTCTTCGCTGTTCCTGACCCCCTCACCCCCATCGTGCTGGGCTCTTCAAAGACCAGTCATAAGCTAAACACTTTTTGTCACCGTTGTTTATACATTTGTGCTGATGTCGGTTTATTGCTGCTGTTCATGTTGTGGAGCATCGTTAACCTTTGCCAGGATGGAAATATTACTGTCTCATGTTGTAGATGCTCACTCCTCTCCAAAGAAGGTGCTTGTATTTATGTCATCATAAATGATAAAGGCTGCTCCATTCTCCTTTCTCACGCCTCTGCTTTTGCCTATGAGCTTGCTGTTTTCACTGCTGGAGTCGGAGAAGAGAAATCTGATTTGAGTGGACATGGGCCATGTTTACTCTAGGACAAGATATAATCCGTTACCTACCACACTCACGCCCCACTGCGACCGTCCACTGTGGGGCCCTGTGTTTTCATTTGTTTATTTTTGTTTGCAAGGGCGTGGGGAGGGAAATGAGGGAGACAGGAGAATGGGGCAAGTGTCGGGGAGAAGTTTCCAGGCTCTTTACTCACAAGGCTGCACTGAGAACAGCACTCACACCATCTGCCTCATAAGACTGTATTTATGAGGTGCTGTATTTTACTGTGTGTAATGGACTCTTTTTTGACCAAATTTTTGAGGGAAAAATAAGGATATGCATTATACATGGGTAATACTAATTTCTTATTTATATAAATATTTTTAAAATCTTTTATTTATGCTTATGCATTAATAGTATAACTCTAGAAAGCAATAATGATATCCATGTATAAAATAATACCCTGCAATATGATAACTGGTTTTGTTTCCAAATATAAGTAAAGAACGAATTGAATTAAAAAATTAAAATGAAAGCTATCTTTTCTTCAAGTTTGGGCCAATAATGTGGGTGTGCACTATACATGGAAAAGGACAGTAATTTTCGGGTCTCCGACAAGGAGAGTCTCCCTGGTGTTTGTACAACTTCCACCACGAGAACGAGGAGCTGTGGTTAAAGTGTTGGCTTGCTCACAGTGCTGTAAGGGCACATCCTTCGGTGTGAAAGATGATCTAGAGAATTCAGGTGGGGCGTGCAAAGAAGTCATCCAGGGGCCCAGATTCAAAGGGGGCAGAGGTGAGGGTGGGTGAGTGGTGAGGGAAAGAGTCTGGGGTGGCGTGGAAGTTCCTGCTAAGGGAACATTTGAGGTTATAGCCTTGTGACCCATTGGTAACACACCCATTAGTGTTGAAATGAAAGCTCTTTGATGTGAAAGCCAAAAAAGAATATGAAATGAGGGTAGTTTGTGCCTGGAATCTGAGGATTTCACTGTACCAGCACCATGTAAATTAGGCTTGGACATCACAGGCAACATCACAGATAAGCAGGCTTCGGGTATCAAAGGCTTGGAGCTCGTAGACTTTTACAGAACAGCCAAGCAGTGGGGAATATCCCTTTTCCCAATATGTGGTAACTCCGCCCACTGGAAGGTAAATATGTAGAACAGATGTTCGTGCAGAATGGGTGCTGCCCTCCAGTGGACAATGAGGTCCAAACGACCTGGGAGACACATGCATCCTGAGGTGGGACAACCAGCCTCAGCTGAGGCCAATGAATGTCGTTGTGATGGGACAGATTTTTTCCTGTCACTCTATTTCTTATTAATTTTGAAATTTTCTAAAACAAGTGTGTACCGTTTTAGGTTCTGAAAACATTTCTTTTAGTATCTGCTAGTCCATTAAAGCACTTTTTATTGTGTTTACAGGCAGTTGCAAATCTGGCATATCTCAGTACCCACGGCAGACATTTCTAACCCTGCCCCCTTTTCTTGTCTTTGGTTCAAGGTGGTGTCACACAAACTTGGACTGTGTCCGGAGCTCTTGGGCTACTTCGGCCTCTTTCTCATTCGGTTTCCCAAGGAGGGCAAGCTCTCTGGTAAGCAGGACAGAAGGAATGCCGTGTGGGCAGGGGCTCCGCTGAGGAACCGCCCACCCCCAGGGGAAGTCCCCAGTGTGTGGACCCTACTGCTGTTCCTCACTCCTAGATGGAAAGTTTGGGGGTGGGAGGTCGCGTCTGTGGGCAGGGAGAGCTGGGGACGAGCAGCTCCAGGGAAAGGGCGTGGACAAGAGTGAGAAGTCAGGTCTCTCCGGGCCCTGCACTCCGCTGGTGCCTGCACTGGTCCCCATCCTGATGTCCCTCCCCCTGCACCAGTGCACCTGGCTGCTGACCCGCAGCCACGCCATAACCTCCCGTGAACGGAGTGCCAGACCCCGGGCATCAGGGCATCCCATCATGCCGTCCTTTTCCTTGTTAAGGAGTAGTTCCTGTGAAGTTCAGGTGATATAGATAAGTTCCCAGCTCTGGCTGGTGTAGCTCAGTGGATTGAGTGCCGGCCTGCGAACCAAAGGATCGAGGTTCGATTCCCAGTCAGGGCACATGCCTGGGTTGCACATCTAATACTTGGTCGGGGCACATATGGGAGACAACCAATCGACGTTTCTCTCACATCGATGTTTCTCCCTTCTCTCCCTTTCTTTTTCTCTAAAGTCAGTAAACATATCCTTGGGTAAGGATTTAAAAAAAAGATACGTGATAATAAGAGATGACAGTCCAATTCACATAGTTTTTGCTTTTCTAGATGCAGAGCATTTCTAGGTAGTGCAAGTTTTTAGCTGTGAGATGCGATCAGTGACCTCAGCACAGTTTACACACGTCCTCAGAAGCCGTGGGGAGGCGGGTTCAGTTGGAGGGTAAGGGGTCAGTGTGTTGGCCTGGCCGCTGGGATCTGGGGCGAGCTGGGATCTGGGGTGAGCCGGCAAAGGCGCCGCGCCTCTCCGGCCCCCGGTTTCTTCATCTGTAGCTCCGTGTAAAACACTGCTCACTCAGGGTCCTGGTATTTTATGAAGATAAAATGTTATTGACTTTTTGAATAAGTTTTAGAAAGCTAAAAATTACATAGAAACGCAAGAGAATATTATTGTCATACGTTATGCTTTCCAACAGTAATGCTTTCTGTTCTCGCTTTAAAGCCACTGGGTGTAATCTCTCTGTGCTGTTTCGATCAGCGAGACTGCCTTTCCCCTTTCTCTAGTCATGAAAAAATTAGCGGACTTCGAACTCCCTCACGTGAGTCTTCTAAGTTCAGAGGTGGAAGACTGCAAGGTCGGACTCAGGAAGTGGTGAGTAGGCGTCGGGACAGCAGACATTTGAGGCCGAATGGCTGTCGCTGATCAGAACCTGTCATTTCACCTGGTCGCTCTTAGGCCAACAGCTAGCAAGAGACCGGGGGGATTTGTGCCCGGGGGGGCACAAAGAGGAAAACAGTGAAGAAGGCAGAGAGGGCAGTGGTGACACTGTTTGTCCTAAAGGGTAGGACGTCGAGGTGACTTCGCTGGTCTCAAGTAAATACTCAGAGGGATATTAGTGTGAGGAAGGTTAAGACTTGAAAAACAAGGGCTCTTAAGGTTGGGATTGAAACAGGTAATGGTGAGGAACTACAGGCCATGGGCTTGCTTTGGAATGGATTACTGACGGTATTAATGGAAGGAATTAGTTGATTCCAAGCAGTTCTAATTCACCTGTTGAACTGTGTTGAACTATTTATTCCCTGAAGGCAAAGGGTGGGCTCTGCCAATGTGAAGTGCATTTGAACTCTCAGTAGTTGGCTTACATCCCAAAAGCATTTCAACAATAAATGCATGTATGCCAGGACCAGCCTTATTTCTACACTGATAGGACACCTTGCAGAAAAACACTACCTTTCCCCCCAGAAACAGAGGCCCCTATGGAGAGCAAGCAAACAGAAAATAACTAGGAGCAGGACACTCCCCTGACCACCCCCACACGTAACCTAGAACCTGTAGCTCTGTGTTGATCACCATGGTTGCGTTGGGTTGTGTCTTTGGTTCACTCTCTCCTGGCTCAGTTATTCTGTAATCTGAGCACAGCAGATGAAAAGGAAGGCATTTTGAAATCTAGAAATAGTAGTTATCTTGACCTTGTGATGCCCTGCAAGAGTTCTAGTCTGCGGTTTTGGTTTTGGAAGGATATTCCCAGCAAGGCTAGAAGTTCATTTACTATTATTCAAAAAATATTCTGAGAAACTGTCAAATTCCACGGCATGGAACCCTGACAAAGGAAAAGGAAAAAGCCTTAGCAGTTCCATCCAAGGGTTTCTAGAGCAGCTGTGCTTATGGAAGCTGCTCAGTCCGGTGAGTGGCCGAGCGTGGTTACTCCTGGGATCGGAGAATGTGAATCTCAGTCCCAGCTCTCTCAGGATTTAGCTGAACAACCTTAGCCCAGTTACTCAAGTTCTCTAAGACTCAGTTTCTCTGTTTGTAAAATGGGAATCCTAATAGAGTCATGAGCCTCATAGGATTATCGTGAGGGTTAAACAGAGTGACCCCATGCGCTCAGAAAATGTTGCTCTTGTTTGTTCTCGTCATCTTGAGGACGGTAATGAGAATGCCGGCAACAGCAGAAACACTGGGGCTGAGGCTTCTTGTGCGTGGCTCTCTGGAGAGCATGAGGTCAGAGGGCAGATGAGGACTGTTCTTTACCTCGAAGCTTGAATTGGAAACTGGGCTTTCCCAGGGTCTATGTCTTCATTAACTAGGTGAATTCTAGATTATAAGTGCAAAATAAAATGTCCATCTACACGGGAGGGTAAATGGTAATGGAAAGAAATAATTTTTCAAAAGCCTGCTTACAGGCCAGCATCTCGGATGCAGGCAGGTTGCCTTTGATCCTGGGAACTGGAAGAAAGGCGGCCTCGCGTCAGTGGTTAGAGGTGAGGTTCAGGTCACTGGAAAGGGCCCGGCCGGCTGCCTTCCAGGGTGAAGTGTTACAGGACGGGGGCAGGGGGCTGTGGGAGTCCCAGCAGGGGCAGCCTCGCTCTGCTGGGAATGGGTTAAACCATTAGGAAAAAATTGTAGTGGTTAATTCTACCTCCATACCTAGAAGAGGCAAATTCAGAGAGATGGACAGTAGAACAGAGGGTACCAGGGACTAGGATTTTGAAGAGAGGGGTTATTGCTTAACAGGTGCAGAACCTTTACTAGGGAAAATGAAAATCTTAGGGATCTTCCTCTGCCCGTGAATTCCCTGGTGCATCTCTCCAGTGATGATATGGTTCCTTCCAGACCAGAGGGTGCCTGCCCTGGCCTCTCAGAGCCCCAGTGTGGGGTGGGTCTGGGGGCCATCTGGCTTTCTGATGTAATGGTTGCTGTCCTCTGCCACACAGGGGGCCCCGGGGATGCATGAGTGAAATAGTAAACAGAATATGAGTAGGACTGCTGCAGCCGCTTCTCCCCATGCCCCAGAATGAAGTTGATCTTCAACTAACATTTTCATCCTCTTCCTCGTCTAAGCCAACCCCATCATCTGTCTGTTCACCCTACACACCTGAGTGCCGTGGTTCTGCTTACCTCTGCCTTCAGACCGGTCACGGAGTACCTGCAGCACACCCTTTCCTGACCTTTCCGTCCATTCTCAGCACACCACTGGGCTTCTAGTTCATCCTGGTGGTGCTGGGTCCGTTAGACATACACGGAGCCCTGCTCTTTGCAAGTCACGTTGCCGAGGCCCCTGAGTAGGACCCAGCCCTGGAGCTCAGGGGTCCTCTGATCAGCTTGATCAGAGCAGTGGTCAGGCTAAACTCAGGAGCTGAGAAAGCACAGAGGGTGGGGCCCTAACACAGCCTTGGGGAGCAGGCACCAGAGAAGGGGAAATGAGGATGCGTCTTGCCAGGAGAAGCAGTTAGTTCACAGACAGAGGTTGGTGAGGTGAGTGGTCTTCCAGGCAGAGGGAGAGGGGAGAAAACATGGCTGGAAGGTAGAATGTTCAGGGAGGGGAGTGGGGTAAGAGAGGGGGCTGGACAGGGAAGTGGGGTGTCCTCTGAAGGGCCCTGGATGGGAGCAGAGTCCGTGATTTCACTGCTGGGACTATGGGAGCATGAAAGGCTACTCAGGAAAACCATTCCCATCAGCATGTGGGGTGTGAGATCGAGGGAACCCGACTGAGGCAGGAAGCCCAGTGAGGAGGTTGCCAGAGCAACACAGGCAAGAGGTGAGGGTGGCCTAAGGATGGGGAGGTGATATCGGTGTGGGTAGGAGCAGGTGAGAGCGCACGTCAGGTATTGTGGGTGGGGAAGCTCATGCAGGACTCAGTGGCTTGGAGTGAACGGGGCTGCGTGTGAACAGGGCTGCGGACCATTCTCCTGAAGCTTTGTCCTTTGCTTTGTCCTTTTGCATCTTTGCTGTCCGTGCCCACCAGGCAAGAACTTACAGCATCAAAAAATTAGGGAGCAGAAGAGGTGAGGGACAGATTGAAGGCTAGGCAGGGAGAGGGGCAGGGCTTCGTCAGAAAGGGGCCTCGGTTCAAGGCGTAGAGAGCCAGCACGTCAGAGACCACCGTGGCTTTGTGCTCCCAGGGCTGCCCGTGAGCCGTGCGGTGGGAACCGACTTAACACTCCTGGGTCCTGCAGGTACATGGACCCCGCCCTCGACTCCGTGCTGATGGACTGCAGAGCTGCTGTGAACCTGATCTACATGCAGGTGAGGGCAGCCCAGAGCCTTCGGGGCACCACATACAGGGCCCGGCAGAAGGGAGGCCTGCAGGAGTGTGGTTGGGAGGGCGGTAATATGGGTGCAACGATTTATAGTTTTAATTTGAACATTTCACCTAAAATGTCAGATGGTGTGCTTGAGTGCGAAATTGCTGTTAGAAGAGTTACATGCTTATGATTTTGCGGTACAAGATTTTGTAATAAAAAGGGGGCATTATTTCTGTAGGACCCTGTATTATAGGCCATTTGGGTTTAAAGCATTAGAAAAAAAATAATTGTAGTAGTGAATTCTACCTCCATCCCTAGCATAGGCAACTTCGGAGAGACAGAAAGTAGAGCAGAGGTTGTTGCCAGGGGCTGGGGGAGGGGAGGGGTTGTTGGCTAATGGGTACAGAACCTTCGCCAGGGACGATGAAAAAGTTAGTGCAGAGAGCGGTGATGGGGACAGCATTGTGAGTGTTTCAGTGCCACCGGAGTGCACACTCACAGATTGTTAAAGTGAGAAGTATTGTATTTTACTACTGTAAAAAAATGTAAAAAAAAGAGGAATCCACCTCCATTTGGACAATCACTGTCTGAATTTGCCACTGAGACACCCTCATCTCAGACTGATCTGCATGAGCCTAGAAAGGAGACCCCTGACAATTCAGTCACACAGGGGTCCTAATTCTCACTTTAGCATTAGCGCCCTTCTTCCCGAGCGGCAGGGAGTGTTGGTGGCCTGGGAAGCTGCCCGGGGTCGTGGGCTCAGAAGGGCCCCGTGCTTGTTTAAGGCTTTGCTGTCACATCTTGAAATTCTCAATTTTTGAACAAGGGACCCCGCATTTTCATGTTGCACTAGGCCCAGCAAATCATGAAGTTGGTCCTGCCTATCCCTACTGCTCAGCCGCCAGAAAAGTAAATTTGGGGCTTGACCTGTTTTGATTTTCCTGGCCTGTGCGGGGAAGGCTCTGCCAAGCAGCTGGATGAGCGGCGGGTACTGCCTGCGTCCTACACATCTGGGTCCTCCAGCTCAGATCCCCCTCCTGCTTCACCCGCTCCCCTAGTGTTCGCTCCACCACGTCAGCATCGTCAGCATCGTCGCAGGCCTGACCCTTGCCAAGGCCGTTCTTGACAAGGCTGGGAGGGAGGCATGGAAGCTTCATTGGAGGAGTTCCGTGAGAGTATCCCCCCGTCCGCTGTCGCACAGCAGGCAGAGTGGCCAGTCAGATTCTCGCCCTGCTCACACCCTCCAGGTCCTTCCATTCCACTCACACCGAATCCCACATCCTGCCACACTTCTTTATTTTCTTCTTAGCGTTTCCACCATTGCACACACACACACACACACACACACACACACACACACACACAGGTATATATGTACACTTATGTATGTATTTTTAAATATTTGTTTACTGTCTCTCTTCCTACTAGAATGATTTCTCCGTGAAATCAGGTATTTGTTGGGTCACTGCTGTGTCCGCAGACTGTAACTGTTCCTGGCATGCTGTCGGCACTAAGCCCTGTGGTGGGCCTGGCCTTGTACTGATTGTTGTAAATGCTTTGTTTCCTGTAAGCTGCAGACTAACTCTGTAAGGCAGTTGGTAGGTACCCTCCACATGTGTAAGAAGAAGAACCATAAAGTTTGCTGACAAAGAAGTGGATAGGCTTGGATGTAGGAGGTGTAGAAAGGGGATTTAACAATACTTTCCGCAAGTGGCTCTTGTGTTGTGTGATTCTAAGCTGCTAAATGTTGTAGCTTTTCATAAACTGAAATGAAAGAAAAGGAAGAATATAGGATCATTCATTACTTTTATCGAGTGTTTCAAAGGGACAAGGAGACATCGACAGAACGTACTGTATAGTACTTTGGTACAGAAAAGACAGGGTTGGCTTTTGATGTTTCGGCTTATTAACGAACAGAAGGGGAAAAGAGCCTCAGCACATACCTCAAGCTTTTATTTTTTATTTTTGTTTGAAGCAATTACATTGCTTTAATTGTATTAGTTTAAGCAATGCTTTATTTTTGGAGTGTTCTGTTATGTAGCAATAGCTAACTGATAACAAAGCTGTTATATTATTTTCCTCCTTAGTAGAATTATGTGTATTGCTGGTATGTTACATGTCACTTAAATTGACTTCAAAAAGTTTACACTGTGATTCTGCGTGGAATGAGAGTTATTATTTACACTGAAAGGCATAGACAAAACGTCAGGGCTTCCTTTGATATTTGTAGAGCAAATGTTCATCTTTGAAGAAACGACTACAGTTCCATATTCTCTTGCAAAGCAACAACCAGGTGCTTCTTGTGCCCAGAGAGAGGAAACTGCTCTGTTTTAAACTAAGATGCAAATGGACTGCCCCTGCACAGGCTGAGTGGTGCCCCTGAGGGCAGGAGAAGTCACTAACTGCCTGGGAATAAAGGGAAGCGGTTACCAGCAAGAAAAGGCTGGCAGACAGGCTCAGGGACTGTACAGCGCTGTCACTAGGCACTGTGTCATCACTTAATCTGCAGTGTTTTCTTAGTGTCACAGAAAATCCTGGTATCTGAGAGTCAGTTTGACAAAACCGAACGTCATTTATATTTACATCTCCCCCACTGGGCCACCAGCCCGTGCAGGCACTTGGCCGTTTTGGCTCAGGGCCTAGCACGTGGGTACGTGGCTGAGCAGACACAGCAGGCTCCAGCGGCCAGAACGTCGGAGGAGGAGTTATAGCCCCAGTACTCATCCTTCCTTAGGGGACTTTTTAAGAGACTAAGGTCCAATCACTCCTACAAAGCTCTTCTAAATTCTAAGGAGGCAAAGCAAAATATCAATAAATGTTTAATGCTCACTATTATATTCTTATGGCTAGACTGTGGCTTGGAGTTCAGTTCATATTATACTTTGATGCGTGTGTAATCACGTTCAGGGCACTTATCCCCATGTTATATGAGTTGGCACATAATTTACCAGTTTAAATGTTTACTGAAGCTGGTCACTGTTTGGTTCTTGCTATTGTAATACATTAGTATTTGTATCTTGTTTACTTGCTATTCTGTCCTCAGTTGAGAATGCATCATCTCAGTCTAATATCGCTCATGTCTTAGTGGCATCGTTTCCAGGGACTCGCGGTGGGGAGAGGTGGGCACTGCCTGCATCGAAGGCTGATTTCTATCTGTCCTCGTTAAGGAGTGGCAAGCCAGGGAGCAACAGGTGATATTTCTACTGCTTATAGCTGGAGAAAAAGATGGCTTGTGGAAAGCACAGTGAATTGCAGTTTCAGAAATGCGCTGTGTCACTTGCTCTGCCACAGGCTTTCTCTCCGTGTGACCTTGGACCAGACACTCTGTCCTTCTGGAACTAAAACTACGGTCTGTGTTTGAACCCTCTGTTATGGCACTTCTCCCCCAGCATTGTAAATACTGGTTCACATAGGTATCTCCCTAACCAGCTCTGAATGGCCAAGGGCTGTGTCCTGGGTGCCTAGGACATATAAATGGGTGGGGCGCAACCATCCTTTTAAAAACTTAATGTGCTGGCCTGTATGATAACTTTGTGCAAATTAGTAAAAGGTGCCCCTTCCTCCAGGCAGGGCCCGTGGCTTGGAGAGGGGAGTGTTGGCTGACCTCTAGCCTCCCGATACTGCCACAAGCCCGTGACCTGGCCTGGGGCCCAGGCTGCTCGCACATCCCTGGCCTTGCTCTGCTGCATGTTCACCAGCTGGAGCCAAGCAGCTGACGCGTTGTCTCAAAAGGCATGCGTGCTGCACAACCCACTACTGCACCCTCTGCAGAGGGCGCTAGAGTACGTGTGATTGAAGCTCATGAGAAACACGATGTGTGATCTCACGTGGTTTGAAAAATTAGGTTCTTCCCAAGTCTCCATTGGTGAGCCACATAACGGAGTCGAGACGTTTGTCTTAGCTGACTCTGTCCTTGCCGGCAGTGAGGTGCTGTGTGCAACGATCTCATACTCAGAGGCAAACACTGACGACGGTAGTGAAACAAAAACTTATGTTCCTGCTTCTGTAGGACATTTAAACCTCTGTCCCAAGTCCCCTAAAGATGAATGATGCGTCCTCAGTTTGTGCTTAGTGTCACTTAATTCAGCCAGGTTTCCTCTTCGACAAGGTGGCCCTGTGTGGACAGGGCTCTAACGGCCAGTAGAATTTGGGAAAGGAGGTGTTTAGTTCCTCACACCCATGATTCCATGCTGGTACAGCATCGAGGTTCAGTGATGGGAGCAGTTGGCCACAAGGAGAAAGTCTTGGGTGGGCAGCTGCCTGCGTGGCCACAGTGCAGTGGCGCGGGCCAGGGTTGGAGGGCCAAGAGAAACCTCATGGTTCTCCTGAGCTCCGGCCACACCCATTCTAAAGCCCAGCAGTGGGGCTCAGAGCACAGTCCCTCCGAGAACGGCCTGTCGGCTACTCACTCCAGTGGGTTAGTGCACGGTGTAGTGGTCAGATCTGGGTTTAATCCGACTCTGGCCACATATTTGCTGGATCATCTTGAAAGTCATAACCTCACTGCATCTCAGTTTACCCATCAGTAAAATGGGAGTAAGTTTCCTACCTCCACAGAATGGTTTGGAAAAAGTAATTGAGGAAATCTTTCTAAAACAATGTCTCGACAAATAGGATTTTCCTTCTCTCTGAAGTTATCTCCTTTTCTCCCAACCTAAACAGCAATGTCAAAACTTTAGTCTGCTTTTCATTCTCCTCTTAGAGATAAGGCTTCCTGCCAATATCACAGAGGGACTCAGTATGTGGACTTATGTTCAGGCCAAGGTGTAAGTAAGCAATAATTGGCAAAGAATGATTGCGTGTTTGCTGTAGAGAAGACATTGGATACGTTACACTGAGGCAAAGGACCCAGGGTCTTCCCTTGAGGGGTTAACAGTCTAGCCAAGGACCAATGGAAGACTCTTCAGTGCGAGATACAGCAGGACAGGCTACTTGTATCGATTCGAATCCCATCAGTTCTATGTGAAAATTCCTGTCTCCCCAAACCCCTGTCAACCCTGAATGTTACGTACTTTTTGGTCTTTGCCAAGTTGAGAGGGAAGAAATTCTTTGATTGCTAGTGCGATGAAATATATATTTGTCACTGGAATTTCTCTTTGTCATTTGCTGATCCACACCTGCCTACCTTCCGATGTTTACATCATTATGACTGCTTTATAGAAATAGTATCAAATCTTTGCCTCATAGGATGTACTTATCTTTCCCTGGCTTGCCATTTACTTGTTGGTTTTGTTCTTGGTGGTTTTTATATGCAGAAGTTTTATATTTTTACATATTATATATTTCTTTATCATGGTATTTTGTTTTTGTCTCTTAAAAAGTTATTCCCTACTTCAAGATCAGATTAAAAATATTCACCTTCATTTTCTGCTGGCTCTTTTATGGTTTTTACACTTAGATCTTTAATGTATCTGGGTTTATGTGATTGGGTGGTGTGAGGACAGAGCTGACTTTATTTTTATTTTCCCTTCCAAGCGCTGTCAGTTGACCCTAAACCACTGAACAACCTTTCGCTACACTCACTAATTTAAAAAGTGACTGTTATAAAAAGCTGGGTCCTTATATCTGTCTACTTGGGTCTGTTTTTCATCCTTGAGTGTGTTTGTGTCAGATTAACTCATTTCTGCTGAATTTGCTAATTTTACAACTTATGTTTTTTTAAGGCAATCCAGGACATTCAGAAAGAGTGGGCCAAGCCCACACAGGCACAGAGGCAGAAATTAGAGGCTCTCCAGAAAGAAGACAACCAAACGAAGGTGAATCAAACATTGCACCAAAAGCAGTCCCCCCAGGAGGGAGTTAAAGAAACATCAGAACTGGGCTGTTTCTATAATTTACAAACCCGCCAAGCACTAAAAGTGGGACTTTTAAAACATGAGAATACTTTTCATTGATTTTTCTGATTGTAACATTAATAAAGGCTTTCTGTTTAAAGATTCTAAAAAAAAATGCAGATGATACATTGTGAGTGCTTTATCAGGTTAATTAGCATAGGCCCTCCACATTTGTAATGGCCACAGAGTATTCCCTGTAATGGTTACCATGTGGCAAAGCAATGTCCCATTGTTGGGAGTCGGGTCGTTTCCGGATTTTGCTGCTATGAACCACTTTGGCAGCGAGCGCCACCGTGGTGAGGCCTGGGACCCTGTCTGATGCGTACCTGCCTGTGCACGGCTCCTGGCTGAAGGTCCCTGGGCACTGCGATTATATTTTCTGTCTTCGAGTTCATGTTCTGCTGCCCTTCAGGATATATTCCTAAACGTCCATTTTTAAAGCCTCCATAAAGATGGTACCAACTCACACAAGCCTGTCCCCAAGCGGCATGTGTGAGTCTGACAAACAGGACATATTTTAACGGGAGAAATGGCCTCTGCTTCATTGTGTTGTCTTAAATCTTCATGCTTTGCCATTGTTCACGACTAAAGCATCGATTCTGAACAAAACACAAGCAAAATTTAGAGGACTCATTTATGCTTAGGTTGATGTAGAAACTAATTCTTAAAATGGTGGTTTGAGAATGTTTTTGACGAGCTGGAAAGAGACAAAGGAAAAGGGAAGAGCGTGTAGGGAGAGAAAGGGAGTCGTAACCTTTAGTAAAGGACCGGGAAAGAACCAGGTTGTCACTGGGGGTGGGAGCGGGGGGGGGGGGGGGGGGAGGAAACGTCCTTCTAATCTGACCCTGTGTTAAAGTGAGAAGCCCCCTCTGCCCTCACACGTCTCACAATCCATCTGTCAGGGCCCTGGTGGAGGACGGAAGAACGGGGTGGGCTCACCGAGCTGATACCAGCTTGTTTAAATATGCTCATTAGTGATCATTAGACGTTAACAGGACAGGAGGCCGAGACCACAGTGGCGAACTGTAACTGTCCTCTGTCCTTAAGTCATGTCAGAATTGGGACGGGTGGGGGGAACGAAACCTGAAACATGACACAAGGATTCCCTTGGCACTTGGGGGCTGTCCGGAAACTCTACTTAAAAAGCAGACTCACTTTTGCTCTCATTTCGTGGCTATTGCCAAAATCTCTTTCTCTGAGAATCTATACCACCATTATAGAAAGCAGCCTGTACAAATGAACTACTTTCCTCCTACATGGACCTCAGTTTAGTTTTTTAAAAGATGGCATTTTAAACATACGGTTTTTGCTTATTTTGCCCTTATAATTTCCTGCGATAGAATCATATCATCTTAATTGATTCACTCTTTTCTTCATCATTCACGCACCGAGTATTTTTATTCCCCCTATGTCCTGAGCACAGTAACAGGAGCAGGGACACAATGGTGAACGAGGCAGGGACGGTCCCTGACCTGGGGACACACCACGCACTTCCCCAGGCCTTACAGTCAGAGAGTAGGAAGGGCAATGCCTTCCTCTGCATTGTCCAGAAGGAAGAGGTGCTCCCGCTGTCTCTCAATCCCTGTGTTCTTCTAGAATGGCAGCAGCCTCTCACATGGGCTTTTCATCTGTTTCAAGTGGTCTTTTGCTTCCTCCTACCCCCCACCCCTCCACCTCCCTTTGGAGCAGTTTCTGGAGCTGTCCCGGGAGGTGCAGCACTACGGGTACGTGCAGCTGGATCCCTGTGTCTGTGACTACCCGCAGCCCGGCTGTGCGGCTGTTCTTTCCGTTGGCAACCATGAGATCAGCTGCCGCGTCACCCTGCCCGATGACCGGACCCAGGACATCACCTTCCAGATGAGCAGAGTAAAGTGCTGGCAGGTCACTTTCCTTGTGAGTATCTCAGCTCTGCCTCGCCCATGGTTGAAATTTCCACTCACGATTTGAAGTCCTGTTGTTTTTGGATGGCCGAGTTCACGCAGGAGACAGGCCTGCCTTTTGAGTCAGCACCTCGAGTGAACACGTGTCTAAGCCACAGTAAGCACCACCCAGCCACAAAACGTACTTATTGTCTGGTACAAGCTCCCCACCCATAGCAGCAGAGATGCCATCTTCCCACCTTCCAATAACAGGCTTCTCTGCTGCTTGAAGGGTGGCTGCAGTAATAACAGCATGTGCAAATAACAGCTATCGTGTATAGAGCACTTCATATGTACTTAGAACTGACAAGATCGCTCCCGCGGAAACTGGATGCTGAGCAGTAAGCTATACTTAAGGATCCCTTGGCATTATACCTGCATCGCTGCCTCCTCCCAAGAGAAGCCCTTACGCTCAGATTTGTTGAGTGCCTACTCTGCAGGTGCTCTGCAGGGCATTGCCACAGCTATTGTTTAATTCTTACAATAACTCAGTGAGTTATGTGCGATTCTCTCCTTCACACAGGAAACCGAGGTTACCTCATAGAGGGCACATTCTAGTAGAGCAACCGCGACACCCGGTTGTTCAGTGCACGGAATCCAAGGGCATTTCTGATCCGGCGCAGTGTTAGACCTGTTGCTCCTCCTCTGTTGCTGTGGGCCGCTTCTCCCTTCGATCACTTCGAAAATGCGAAGTTCTATTTGCTGGGGTTCTATTTCCAGCATCTTTCCTCTACAGGTTCTCGGAAACCAATCACCCAGGTCCCTCTCAGAAGGACCAGTGTTTTCTTCTGCCTTCCGACATCTTCACCGGGTGTCTCGTGAACATGTCCCACTCAACCTTTCTTTCCCTCTCACGCCCACCCTAGGGTTCTCCCTCCCTGTCTTGGGAAGTGGGACTTCCACCACCACCCCCTAACCCCCAAGTCGGTAATGTTGAAATTATCTCTGACTTCTCTCTCTCTCTCTCTTACGTGTGTAATACGTGCTGGTGGAGGTCTATTCATTGGACGACCTTGCTGTCCATCAGAACGTGTCCTTTCTGTCCACCCTCGCAGTTCGGTCTCAACATCTCCTGCCTCGATGGACCTAGGAGCCTCCTAAACCCTCCTCCCTGCCCATTCTCTCCCCCCTCGGGGTCAGAGAAAATAATGTCGTATGGCTCCAGTCCTTTTAAACTTACAGGAACTTGTTCTGTGGCCCAAAATTTTGTCTATTGTGGTCAATGTTTCCTGCATACCTGAAGAGAATGTTTATTCTGCCTCTAGAGGGTGGAGCAGTCTATGCATATCAATCATGTCACATGGTTGATAGTGTTGAAATCTCCTATAACCTTATACATGTTCTACTTCTATCAGTTATCGAGAGCAGTGTTGAGGTCTTCAGATATAATGGTGGATTTGTCTATTTCTTTTGAGTTTTATCAGTTTCTTCCTGCCTTGTTTTATGATTTCAGTTTTCTCGGCAGTGGTTTTTGTGAGCTATATCTTTATTTAAAATGTGCTTATGGTTACTTAAGAGTTTTTAATATACATCTTCATCTTCTCACAGCCTACTTTCAACACACCACTTCACAAGAGGTGTAAAAACACTTTCTGTATCTGTGATATCTGTTGCCATTCTGTTTCTACATGTAAGCCTATGCTACTGTATAATTATTTTTGCTTTAAATAATTACTTGTAGTTAAACTTTAAAAATTTTTATTTATTTTTAGAAAGAAGGGAAGGGAGGGAGAAAGAGAGGGAGAGAAGTATCAATGTGAGGTTGCCTCTCATGTGGCCCCCACTGTGGACCTGGCCTGCAACCTAGGCCTGTGCCCTGACTGGGAATCAAACCAGCGACCCTTTGATTCACAGCCCATGCTCAATCCACTGCGCTACAAGAGCCAGGGCTTGTAGTTAAACTTTTAACTTTGATATAGATTCATGTGCAGTTGTAAGACATGGGCAGAGATCCTGTGTACTCTCTAGCCACTCTTCTCAATTATTTTATCTTGCAAAACTATACGATATACAGTATCACCATCCAGTACATGGGTGTTGATACGTTTCCATCACAAGGGTCCTGCACGTTGGCCTTGTACAGTTACCCCCACTTCCTCCCATCCCCACTCCTCCTTAACCCCTTGCAACCATTCATCTGTTTGCCATTTCTACCTTGTCACTGCAAGACTATCATATAAAATGTTTGGAGGTGATGGGTATATTTATCACCTTGGTTGTGGGGAAGGTTTTGTGGACGTTTGCATGTGTCCAAACTCATCAAATTTTATGCATTAATTGTGTGCAGTTTTTTTGTATATTATATGTCAATAAGACTGCTTTTAAAAGAGAAATATGCATAAAATGAGGATACATATTGCTCAGTGGATGGAAATGTGACCAGAGGTGCACAGGAACTGAAACCCTGCATTTCTCCTCGGGCTGTGATTCAGTATTTGGTAACTCAGTGTTGATGGTGACTTTTATAGAATCTGACTACTGTGAATAAGAATTCACTTTTCTTAGGGGGTAAAAAAATATATATGGGAAAGCTAAGAATTGATTATCTTTTTTATAAAAAGAATGTTTCCTGGTCAGGCAGCTCATTTGATCAGACTTGTCCCAACAAACCACGGTTGCAGGTTCAACCCCCACTCAGGATACAACAAGAAGCAACCAGTGACTGCATGACTTAGTGAAAAAAAACAATCGATGTTTCTCTCTTTCTCCTCTCTCCCTCCTGCTCTCTCTTTAAAATCAATACATTAAAAAAATTAAGAAAAGAATGTCACATGAATGGAGTCCTATAGTCTGTAGTCTTTTGGGATTGACTTCTGTTTTTTTTTTAACTCAGTATAATTGTTTGGAACTTCATCCAGGTTGTTGTGTATATCAGTGGTTTGCTTCTCTTTACTGTTGAGTAGTGTTTCATGGTATACAATGGCTATGATTTGTTTAGCAATTTGCCCAGTGAAAGGGATGGTTTGGTTTCAGTTTTTAGTCATTCTGAGTAAAACTCCTATAAATATCCACATCCAGGTTTTTGTCTGACCACCAGGCTTCTTCTCTCTGGGATAAATGCCCGGGAGAGCAATTGCTGGGTCATGTGGAAGTTGAATGTTTAGTTTTTTTAAAGAAAGTGCCAACCTGTTGCCCAGCGTGGCGGTACCAGTTTACGTCTGCACCAGCAATGCGCAGGGGATGTAGTTTCTCTGCATCCTCACCAACGTCTGGCATGGTCGCTATTTTTTATTTTAGTCATTCTGATGAGTGTGTGATGGCTTTTCACTGTGGTTGTAATTTGCGTTTCCCTTGAGGCTGTTGAACATCTCTTCAGGTGGTTATCTGCCAGCTACGTATCATCTTCATATCTTTTGCCCATTTTCTAGTTGGATTATTTGTTTACTGTTGAGTTTTGAGAGTACTTAATAACATTCTAGATGCTAGTCCTTTGTCAGATGTGTGGTTTGCAAATGCTTCCTAGTTTTTTCTGTCCTCTTAACAGGTCTTTTGTGGAGCAAAGATTTTAAATTTTTACAAAGTATAATTCATCAGTTACTCCTTTTATAGATTGTGTTTTTCAGTGTCAAGTCTAAGAACTCTTTGCCAAACTCTAGACCCTGAAGTTTTTTCCCCCCTAGGGTTTATTTCTCAAGGTTTTGTACTTACAGGGTATTCATCTAAGTCTATGATCCATTCTGAGCTGATTTCCATATAGGGTGTGGGACTTAGAACAAGGTGCCTTTTTCACCTTTGGAAGTCCAGCCGCCGCAAGACCATTTGCTGAGAAGGCTTTCTTTCCTCAGTGGAATTGCTTTTGCACCTTTACCAAAACCAGGTGGGCATGTTTGTGTGGGTCTGTCTCTGGCTTATTCTGTTCCACTGATCTATGTCTCTATTTCTCCACCAATAGTACCACACAATGGTTCTCTTCCTTTGTAATAGTTTTATCGAGATATAATTAATTCCCATACCATACAGCTCATCCGTACAAAGTGTACATTGCAGTGGCATTTCTTACATTCGCAGAGCTGTGCAGCCATCACCACAATCAATTTCAGAACATTTTTATCACCTCAGAGAGCAGCCAAACACCCTTAACCTCTTTCCTCCCTAACCCCCCATTCCCAGCAGCCCCGAGAGATCAGGAGTTTACTTTCTGCTTCTAGATTCGCCTTTCTGAACACTTCACCTTATTGGAATCATATGTGGTCTTTTGTGACTGGCTCCTCCCACTTACTGTTTCCAAGGTTCATCCTTGTCGAGGTGCATATCAGTACTTTACTTTTTTTCTGTGGTCAAATAGTATTTCGCTGTGTAAATATAACATGCTTGGTTTATCCACTCATCCGTTGACAAACGTTTGGGTTGTTTTGACCTTTCGGTGGTTATGAATCAGTGCCGTGAGCATGTGTGTACAAGTCTTATGTGGACATATGTTTTCACCGCCCTTGGACTTAAACCTGGGAGCGGAGTTGCTCGTAACTCTGCCCTGGTGGTGACTCTATGGTTGGGTTTTGAGGAAATCTCGGACTGTTAACCAGAGTGCCTGCTCCGTCTTACATCACCAGCACGAGAGTTTGATTTCTCCACATCCTTGACAGTACTTACTACCTGACTTTTAAAATCATAGCCACCCTAGTGGATGCCAAGTGGTATCTCATTGTGGTGTTGATTCAGTCCTCGTTCTGTGCTTCATTGTCAGTAGTTTCTCTTGCTCTGGTTTTAAGATTATTCATCTTTTCTTCTGTAGTGCCTAACATGCTGTTTTCCCCATGCAATGTATTTCTATTTCTTTTACTGTATTTTTAATCTCTAGAAATTTCATTTGGGTGATTTTTATAACTCCATTGTTCTTCTGATTATGTTTTTCTCTAAATTCTTGAATGTGTGGAGTGTATTTGAAGTAACTGTTTTAGTACTGTTGTCTACTAATTCCACCATCTCAGTTATTCCCGAGTTTTTTTCTACTGATTAATTAGTCTCCTATTTGCACAGCATACTTTGCATACCAGGCTGTTTTTTATGGTGAGGCAAACATTGCGAATTTTGCATTGTTGAATGCTGGATTTCGCTGTATTCCTTTAAAGAGTATTAGACTTTGTCCTGGTATGCAAGGAAGTTTCTTGAGTTTGGATGTATTTATTTCATTATTTGTTGGCTTGCTTTTAAGCTTTTTGAAGGTAGGTCAAGGGCAGTATTAAGGGCTTATTTAGACCTTTATTCATTAGCTCTCTCTCAACACTTTGTTTATTATGGTCTCTCTATTCTAGTTGATAGAAACGCAAACCTTTTCCAGCCCAGTTTGTGGGTTTCCTGGAGTTGTTCTGCCTCCTGCTTTTCAGCAACTCTTTCCCCAGCCTCACATGCAAAGGTCATTATTAGAAAGCAGGTCTCTGGAACTCTTTTTCTGTCTACAGCCCTTGTCTTTGGTCTTCTGCCCCACACATTCTAACCTCAAAGTCTTCAAATGTTAGCTCTTTCTCCTCAAGTCGGCATGACCCCTGGGCTGGGTCCCCCCTCCTTGCACTGAATCCTGGAAACTCCTGCAGGCAGTAAGCTGGGGAATTGTAGGGCTCACCTCATTTTTTTCCCTCCCTGAGTTAACAGTTTCACCTTACCTGTTGTTCAGTGTTTGAAAACAGCTGTTTTCCAGTTCAGTTTTTACACGGATGCCGTCAGACCAATATTTCCAAAATATAAATCAAATTGATTTGTTAGATACCTTTTAAATCATTTAATAAATGCCTACTGCTCTCAAGATGAAGTCCAGACTCCTAACTTAGCTTATAAAACATGTAACAGTTAGGGGTCTTCTGTAGCAAGGAATAGAAACCAACACTATGGCTCCAGTGAGAAAGGGGATGTATTGGAGGAAGACGGGGTAACCCACTGATTTAAAGGAAAGGCTGGCGCAGAGGCTTAGGAAAGCCAGGAGCCAGGGAGCTCCAGGTTCCTAGGAATACTTTATCAGGCCTCCTCCCGGGATCTCTCTGCCCTGGGGTCAAATGAGGGCACAGAGGGTATTTGTTCAGTGGGTCTGAGTTTGGGTCACGGGACACCCCTCAGGAAGGCAGCTTTCCCAACAGTCCCACCTCCATACCCATAGTGGGTGCGAGATGGTTTTCCCTAGGCACATGAGACTGCATTGCTGGGAGAAAGGAGAGATGCTATGCAGCAAAAACCACAGGTGCTTTCTACCAGGCTTTCAAAATCTGACCCCTGCCTGACTCTCTAAGTCTCTTCTCGCACCTGCTGCCTGCCTGGAAGCCTGTGCCACTTTAATTTCTATTGGATATCAAATAATATCTTTTCCTCTGTAGGGGACTCTGCTGCATATGGATGGGCCCCAGCGAACTCTCAACCAGAACTTGGAGCTCAGGTTTCAGTACAGCGAGGGTAGTCGGTGGCAGTGGTTTGTTATTTACACCAAACAGGTGAGTTCTCGGGGAGGAGTGTGAAAACCCAAGCTGGACGTTCTCTTGCTTGCTGGGGTGGACACAGCACATAACCCGAACTCTTTGTAGTTACTAGAGTTTGCTATGCACCCTCTTTTGGGCTGTGATACTCTTCTGTTTTGTTTTGTTTTCCTAGTCACCACAGCCTTCATATCAATTAGAAATGAATGTAGTCACGAAATAACAGAACACTCCACTGACGGTGGCTTAAACCAGGGGTCAGGAAGCTTTTTCCTCAAAGGGCCAGATGGTAACTATTCTAGATTTTGAGGTGCATTTGGTCTCTATTGGAACTACTTGCTAATATGAAACATTCTTAGGAAAGTGATAGGACGTTTTTTGAGGCAAGATTTGCAGTCCTTGGAGACACAGAGAGAGATTTTGGTACTGAAACCACCCTTCCTCCCCTAGAACACTAAGTGCAATAGTTAAATTTTATTATGGTCTTTTAATCTAGTCTGTAGCAAAGGAGTTTAAATCACTATACAGAGGTATAATAAACACTCTTTTAAAGGATTCCTAGTAAGGTCGTATTTCCTTTGGAGTGTGGGTTTATTGAGACAACTTTTGGAAAAAGCCAAAATGTGGCTCGTGTGCCTTACAAATACATACAAATGCGGGCTTGGGCCCAGATCTTTTCTAGGTCCTTTAAACAAAAGTTCAGTCCCTTTATACTTAATAAACCTTTCCTTGTTTGTAGCAGAGTCCTAACCTCCATATCTATGAACATCGCATAGTAATATTAAATCAATACGAACCTTGTGGGACATCATTGAACGGCCTTTCCAGCTGCATCAGCTCAAGGGGTGTTTCGAACTACTTCGTAACCTGGTTTTGTGCAGGCTGCATTTCTGCCCAGATAAACAGGGTCAGTCCCTACCAAAACCCGGGCTCTTTTCCTCATTAGCAGCAGTGCCTTTCTTCCCTCTTCCCACGTTTCTCTCCCCTTAAAATTCAGTGAACTCCTGTCATGTGCTGCAGTCCTGCAAGACCTCGGGCTGGTCTCCCTACGTAGCCCTTCTCTCCCTCTAATTATTTCTATGAACTGCCCTCTAATCCGCGCGGGCTACTCCCCCAACCTGAGTTTTCTTCCTCTTTTCTCCTCTCCGTCATCACTGCCCCCCTCCCCGCCCCCCATAAAGTGACCGTTCTTGAGCACAGGCTTAGATTAAGTTCCTGTAACCTCAGACTTTGAGCTTCCGTTGTCTCAGGCGTTGGCAGGGCCCATGAAAGAGGAGTGAGCGAGCGGGAACCGAGAGCAGGACAAGAGAGGAAAAGGCTCAGTGGGAAAGGAGCAGCTGGGAAAATCACAGGGAACCTGACGTCTGGCAAGTAGGTGTGCAGGTCCTGGAACAAGGGAGCCCCGAGTTTTGTGTTGCACGATGTGTAGCATGTGTCTTGGACTAACCACTGTGAACCAACACTAAAGCCACAGGTGGCACTGGGGACAACTGTCAGTTTTGCAAGTGAATGATTAAAGGTGCCTGAAAAATAAAACTGAAGAAAAACAATTTTTTTTTCAGTTTCAGTAAAAGTCATATTCTTTCAAACAGACAGGGTGCTATTTATGCCTAGGACTCTTAGTTATTATGCATGCAGTTAATTACAAGATTGACCAATATCAGCTCATGTGATTACAATAATAAGCAATTTTTATTATTTGTTCCTTGTAAAATATGAGATGCTTACAAAGTAATAGAGAAACTGAGATCCTGGTCATTTTCACCTGTCTTTTTAAAATTTACTGTAAATATATCCACATAACTGAGAAATTTTTCAATTATTTGTTAATTACATCTTATGCAAATTTGTGGGAGTTAAGAAATCTAAATTCATACTATTGGAGGGCAGAGCTCAAAATCTGCCTAGTGGCGTGAGGAGGGAAGGAAGAGAAAAAAGATCTTTAGCTGAGAGACTTCCTTATTTCCATATTTTTTAGGCTTTTTTGCTGAGCAGCTGCTTGAAAAAAATGATCTTGGAAAAGATGGCAAAGCTAGCTGCAGAGAATCCAGAGATGGTGAGTGCCTGTATCTGTGTCTGGTTTTCACCTAAGTTCCCACCATCGGCAGACACCAAACTACCGTCATCGGCTCCCTGGACCTGGAGCGAGGAATCCAGCCCGGAGCTTCTCTGCCCTCTGGGAGCTCCGTCTTTGGAAATCAAGAGGTTTTCCGATGAGAATCATCCTTGGATTGCTGAGAATTGTCTAACCTCTACACTGTATCCTTGTCTTTCTGCCTTCCCCCAAAGGGAAGAATCTGGATTTATCATAAAAGCTACATTATAAAGTCAGGGTTATGAAAGGCTTTTAATAGCAGCAATGATCTTAAACAAGCTCTACAGCTTTGTCTCTAGAAAAAACCCCAGCCTTGTGATGCTTCCTCTGTGCCCAAGTAAAGTGTCTTTAGCAGTTAGGAGAGGCCATTAAGTAAAATAAACTCTCAAGCTGGTAACTTTTTCCTCAATGTAAAATTAAACTTTGTTTTTCTAGTCAACATCCCTTTAATAAAAGGCCTACTAACTCACTGAACAGGTTGGTGGCTGGCTGTAAAAAGAGTTACTGAGATAGAGTTATTTTTCCACCTGTTTTGTTACCACCACGATATAAGGATGCCCCTAATAGCACAATATAGTTTAATTTTTTATAACTACAAGTACTAATGCCTGGTTGGCATTTATAAACATAATTCTTTTCCAGAATATTACTGTTATCTTTAAAAGTACAACAGACAACATTTGGAAATGTTCCCTAAGGTTAGTCCTTTATATGAGGATGGATGACATCTTAGCTTAACATGGCTCTCTCTTGACTTTGTGGCTTTTTGCTAAGAAAATAGTTTCATTTTATCCTTATTTCTCTTCCAGAACTGAAAATATTTTCCCAGGGAAAATACAAATGCGCTGCCTCTTGGTGTCGAAACAATTCAAAATGTGCTCCAGTAGCAAATTACAGCAATAAAAGGATCAAGGACACTGTTTAAAGAGAGTAATAAAATCTAACCTCTTAGACAGGGTGTACCCCCTTAGGCTCCAATTATTGTGGATGTAAAAAGAAGAAAGAGAAAAGTAATTAACTGAAGCAGTCCCCTTTCAAAGGGAGAAATGCCCTCAAATGTGGTTGAATAAAATGTAAGCTACTTGATGCAAGGAAATATTTGTACAATGAATAGCTAAAGAGTTTGCTCCATAATAGGAGAGAGTATCTACTTAGAGTTTTCGAGAGAAGCAACCATGGGAACTACATTCCTTAGAGCTGCGCAGAAACTGAAATCTGTAGTTTATTCTAATGGCTGATCACAAAATTAGCGTATTAGTCAGTATTTGTATTTCTTTCTTTTTTTAAAGATTTTTTATTTATTTATCTTTAGAGGGGAAGGGAAGGAGAGAAGGAGAGAAATATCAGTGTATGGTTGCCTCTCGTGCTGGGAACTGGCCTGCAACCCAGGCATGTGCCCTGACTGGGAATCAAACCTTGATCCTCTGGTTTGCAGGCCCATGCTCAATCCACTGAGCTACACCAGCCAGGGTAGTATTTATAGTTCTTTGTCCAAATGCTCAACCAGCTTTGTTTCTACAAAACATCTATTTTTATTTCTTATTTTTCTTCTCAAAAAGACAAGTGAAGAGCCTTCCTCTTGAATATTGGGATGTTGTAGGGACGGTCCCCATGTTGATGTGGAATTTCATCTACAAACCCCTGGGTAGAATGGGACCCTGGCAGAGAAAAAACAGGTCAGCTGTTTGAACTTCAGCTGACTCTGGGCCTCCCTTCAAAGTACAGTTGATGAGAACAGTTCATTTTGTGTAGCTTAATGGAGCCATATAAATGTACGGCTGTGGTATTTCCTCCCACAAAAGTCGGAGCTGATGCATAGCACGTATAGAAGAGCTCGTACAGACTAGGATTCAGAGGTTTTTCTTTTGCAAGGCAGAATAGGTTCCAAGATTTTGATAATCGTGAAGAACCTGGGAAGGAAGAGAGAAACTGAGGAAACTGTAATCAAATGAGCCCCATAAAGAAAGCAGATTGTCCCTGAAAGCAGATTAAATAGCACTGTTTTATCCGAGTAAGAAGGAAGGAGTAAAAGAAGTAATTGAGTGCCAACTTGAAGTTAATTGGCTCAGTTAGCTTTAGGCAATGCTTCCAAAGGTAGATTTGAAACGTTTATGGTGAGATCATTAAAATGTGAAGCTAAATGCACTCAACAACAATGTAAACAGTCAATAATAAAAAAGTCGTGTTAACGTCTTCAAGGCAATATTAACTGCAAACCGGAAGGAATAAAAAAATGTTCCTACACCAATGCCTAAGTGAAGTTTGTTAATATTTGTTACTTTTAGCTGGAACAGAATTATAAGGATTATTTTATTTTCAAATAAAGTATATTAGGAGTTAATTTGGCTACCTATTATCAAAAAAAAAGCACCATCAGCAAAAGAAAAGTTTGTTTCTGTCTCACCCCAAAGCAGCCGAGAGGTCAGCAGTCTTGCATTGACATGGGGGCTCCCAGCCATCGCCAGAGACCTTTCTGCTGTCGTGAAGGTGACATTATGTCATTCCATCCACCTTCCATGCAACGAGCCTGAGGGGAGTGTGAAGGGGGGCCCATCTTTTTTCTCTATGACATTGCCTGAGAAGCCCCACACAAAACTTCTGCTTACAGCTCATTGGCAAAGAGTGGGTCGCACTGCAGGCCTTGCTGCGAGGGGCCTGGTTAATTCGGTCTTTCTGCAGGGAACGTTGTTGTCTCTGCAAACAAATTCGTGTGTTGTGCTGTCTGGTGCCAATAGGAATTCCCAATCTGGGGGGCAGAAAGAGGAGAAACTTTATTCAGATAAACAGTCTGCAAACTAGGGAGATGCAGCCACTGAAGCAAAGGGAAGAACGAGATGGCCTGCTCCCTGCTGGCTTCCTCCTCCTTACCCACTTCCCAAACTACCGTCACCACAGGTATTGGTTTTCTCTCCGTTTCTCTTTCATTCCGGGTAAGGTCAGACCTTGTGAAGGGCCACAGTGTGTTCCCATTTTGTGGTGAGGAGGGGACGCACCAAGGGCAGTGCTGTCCGATTCCCAGCAGCTGTCAGCCTTTGAATAGCTCATCCAGTTCAGAAAACAGAGGAAGTGAGGACAAGTTCCAGCCGTCACAAGAAGGGCCTGAGCACAGCCGAGGACAGGGTTTTGGGGGGGGGGGGATGAAGGTGCCGGAGCGAGTGCTGAGATTATCAACAGAAACTTCTGTGTTCATGAAGGAGGAAGTGCAGGCATACTGTGTTATGAAAAAGGATTTGCTCACCCACCCTCCCCAACTTTATTCCTTCTAGTATATCAAATAGTTAAAGCCTTATTGAAATAAGTTAAGGAGACAGATCATATCAGAAATCACTTACCATTTGTAGTGGGTTCTATTTTATTTTGAAATGGGAGGAGGGGAATGAGACTAGGAGAGAGAAAAATTCTGTTTTTCCTCAACTCTGTATTTCATTGCACAAGACCTCTTACCAATTATAATGTAATATAAAATAATAATACTAGTAAAACACATAAAACATCAGAGCATTAATTTCTCATTGTTGAAACTTAATAACTGATTTTTTAAATTGCTGAGATTGGTCTCAAATCTATGAACTTTTTCATTAAGAATACTAACCTAAAAGTATGCATACTTTAAAACAATATATTTTATAACAAAAGTAAGTTAACCATAGTTACTCTTTTGCAATGTCATGTCATTTATCCCACTTACTTGGAAATGTCCTGCTCTATAGCCTCATGAATAATAAGCAATACCCAACAATTTGCCTAATCCGCCCCTCATTCTATCATTTATGAAAGCCTGCATTTGCCATGCAATGGCTAGACACTGAGGACCCAGCATAAGGAGCTTATTGGTTGGAGGAGAAAGGCAATCAGCTAAGCGACATTTACAGTTATAGAATGATAAGTGGAGACATGCACTGTTTAATAACAGTTCTCTTCTTTTCCTCTAAGTGTAAGAACTCTTTCCCCCAAACACTGCCTAGGTCAAGTTTACTGGCTCTGCCAGACACTCTCTTTGCCGCTTCAAGTTCATTCCCCAAGCTTGTTGCCCTGGAGACTGCCCTGTGTGTGCTGTGTTCTTGCCCTCTGACCTCCGACCTTGGGCCGTGCTCACCAGACCCGGTGAAAGCACGGGACAAAAGCGAAATTGGGGTATTTATTTCTCTCATTCTGTCCCTTCTGAGTCTCTGCTGTCGGCAGGGCCTGTAGCAGGGCTTCCGCTCCTGTGGGCGGCCTCTCCTTCCTGCGGCTGCAGCTACTCTCCTTCCAGTACCAGCTGCTCTCCTTCCCCTTCAGGCCCAGAGGTGGGAAGAATCACCCTCCCTCGAGACACTCCCCCCGCCCCCCCCACCTGCCCCCCACATCCTAGTCCCTGGGGGCTCCAGTCTCCCTTCATTGATTCACTTTAATCCTGCCCATACTTCCATTGTTCCTTTTAAAAACTCTCTTCAATCACCCCAAGAGGGCGCCATCTATTTTCTTCCAGGACCCTGGCTGTTCAATTTACATTATGTACTTGAGGTCGATGCTAGTGTCTTGTTTGCAGTTTGATTCTTCCCTTGATTAATGGTGTCTTTCCATTAATCAAAGCCCCATTTGGCTTTGATTCAGCATATGAATTGGAGTTCTGTGGATTATTTCAGGATTTAGAAGTTCATTTTATTTTGTGTGAAGCCCTTTTAGAATGTGTTAAATCACACTATCCGTAGGCAACCAACAAGATTAAACATGAAGCTTCACTTAACTTTTGGCAACTCAATTACTATACCATTTAGACACTTGCAAATGAAGGGGGAATATGCAGATGACAAGCAGGCCTGCTGACTGGCGCCTTTGGGGCCACTAAGAGGATTATTGGGGAGGCAGTGTGCTGGTTAAATAGGGTGTTTGTGTGCTTCCTTCTCTAGGCTGTGCTGACTGACATTTCACTAATCTCTTCAGCAGATTGAAGTTCCGGAACCAGGCAGAAGTAAGAAATACAACATTCAACAAAGCCAGGTCTGTGAATAAGATTATGTAATTGATACATTATAATTTTGATAAATCTCCCCTCCCCTTTAAGGAACCAAAGTCCTTCTACCTTTAATAATAAGCCAGAATTCTCCTTTTAAGAAGCTCTTCTATGTAGGTTAGGCCAATCAGAGGGCATCAGAGAAGTATGTTTTTTGGTGTTTTTTGTTGTTTTGTTTTGTTTTTGTAGCAGCCAGTAGGGCTAGCAGAAATGCTTTTCTGAGTTTTTACGTAAAAAATGTTGAAGAATACAAAATTCTTTTATGATTACCTTCTACACTGCATGCATGTTCTGGAAAATACTTTCTAACTTGTGTATTTTTGTTTTGTGGATTTTCCACAGCGTACTCTGTATAACACAGTGTTTCAGTTTATAAAACACTTTTTCGAGCACGTAGGTCCGCTGTGCAGATAACGGTAACAGTAGAAATCATGACAGAGAGCATCAGTAGCCCCTCACTGCTGCCGGGCACTGGTCTGAGCCCCTTTCTGTGGGTGAACGCATGCATCCTCACCACCACCCTGTAAATCTGTTAAGGAAGCTGGGGTGCAGAGAGGGGCAGTGGCTTGCCCCAGGCTGCAGGTGGTCAGTGGTGGAGGGAAGCAGGCGGTCTGACTCAGGAGCGTTGCCTTTAACTCCCTTGGCTAACTCCTCCTTTCTAGTCTCAAATCCTAGAGAAGGTGAATGAGATCCAGTTGGCCTCTTAGTAGCTTTTGAATGGAATTTATTGTTGGTCCAACTCCTGTCACTGGATCTGCTGTGTATATAAAAATACTTAGTATTTAGGGATAGTATTTATAAATATATAAGTATGTGGCGTCTTTTCTTGAGTGAATAAGCTCAGGAAAAAAATTAAAACAGGCTAAATGCGAAGCTTTCTCTCTTTTATAATACCATTTCTGGATGCATAGATCAGAGACACAAGATGAGAACTCCACCACTTACTGGCTATGTGTCTTCAGGTACACACACAAAAAAGTGTGTATATGGGCTCCTGAGGTACGTATTACAGTGCAGACTCCTGGCCCTCACCCCAAGGGATCGATGCAGAAAGTCTGGTGTCGGGGTTCTGAATCAGAGTGTATAACAAGCTGCTCAGTGAGAAACACTGCACCATGCTTTAATTTCTTTAACTATAGAATGTACAGGCAGCCCTGGCTGGTGTGTCTCAGTGGACTGAGTGCCCGCCTATGAGCCAAAGAGTTGACGGTTCAATTCCCAGTCAAGGCACATACATGCCAGGGTTGTGGGCCAGGTCCCCAGTAGGGGGTGCACAAGAGGCAACCACACCTTGATGTTTCTTTCCCTCTCTTTCTCCCTCCCTTTCCCTCTGTCTAAAAATAAATAAACAAAATCTTTAAAAAATGCACAGGGTAATTACTCCATCATTTAAATGTGCCCATTTCAGCAGCATAGTATTGATGTAGAGCTGTAATTCTCAACCTTGGCTGCACACTGGAATCACCTGGGGATATCTAAGAACTAATGATGGCTGGCGGGGGCCTGGCAGCAGAATTTTTAAAAGCTCCCAGGTGGTTAATGTACAGCGGGGATTGTGACCATTGCTCTAGAACAGCGGTTCTCCAAGTGTGGCCCCTGGACCCGCAACATCGGCATCTCTTGGGAACACACTGGCAATTAAAATGATCAGGCCCCAGACCTGCTGGATCAGAAACTCTGGGCCTGGGACCAGCAATCTGTGTCTAGCTAACCCTGCCCTTCAGTCTGATGCACGTTCAGAAGTGCGAGCCGCTGCCCTAGGACAGCAGGCAACAGACCACGCAGCACAGCTGCGGTCGACGTCACGCTGATTCAGATTCCCTCTCGGAGGAGCAGCCCGGCCAAGCAGGCGGGCATCCTTGGTGCCCCTGCAGGGCCCGCATGTCAGCAGCGGGGCTGGTGTCCCGCCATATTGCATTCCAGCTTATTGTAGCAAATGTTTGTCTTTTTTGCCCCTTGTGTGTGTTTGTTTATTATCAGAGTGCACTCGACATACAATAGTATATTAGTTTCAGGCCTACGACATACTGATTAGACATTTCCATACCTTACTGCAAATCTTTCGATAGGGCTTCTTCTGCACTAGGCACTGTCACGATTACTTTCCACATGTGATCTATTTAGTCCTCATTTCGACTCAGGTATCACTGTTATTCTCAGTTTATAGCCAAGGGAGCCGAAAACACACAGAGTTCTCACAGCTAGTGAGTGGGGAAGCCTGTGTCCAAACCTGGGTATACTGAATTTGTCATCTAACAAATAAAGTTTGTTCCTCAAACGGCTCTGTCATGGGGTCTCTCCCATCAAGACAAACCCCTCATAGAAAAACAATATTTTAGCTGATCTGCCCATTGAGGTGCCCCACATGTACTTCACCAGTGCCAAAGCATATTCTCTATAGCCCTTTGAGATTTCATAAATACTGAAGACATTGAAGGCTCATTTCTCACTCATTAAAGATTTGTAGCAACCAGAAGCTCTTAAAATGTTTGAAAATAAATAATACACTTTAAAAATGTTTGTATTTGTGTGGAATGTGCACTAAAGATTTGGGGTAAAGTTAAAAGCTGAACATCTCATGTCTCTAAGGCCGGGGAAAAAGATAAGGGGCAGATTCTAGTGTTTCCTAGAGACATCCCAGCGCCCAGAGGTGGTCTGGAAAGGGATATCTTGGCAGGCCAGCAGGGGGCACTCTCAGCTCTAAATGTAACTAAGGATAAAAACTAATAATCTTTGCTTCAACAAATGTTACTTTATATTGCCTTTTAAATATTAAAATCACTGACATTCTTATTGTTACTATTGTTATGGAAATTATGCCTTCCCATATATACTTCTAACCTCTCTGTTTACTTCACAACAGAAAGACTATTCCAGTTTTCTACCAAGAATAAACAAGATTAAGATAGCTGAACTTGACTGTGTTTTGGGGCCCATAAAGGAAGAAGGCCTTTGAAGAGAGAGTCCCACTTTTTCAAATGCCCTCTAAGGCTGTCCAGAAAGTGCTTAATGGTTAAAAGTGAGCTTCCTACCTTCAGTGAAAGAAATTTGACTCCTTCCTATTGTATGACGTTAAGATGGACCCTATTCAACAAGACTACTTCAGAACTGTGTTAAACTCAAGATGAAAAAGAAACACGAGCCAAAGCTGTACAGTTGGTTTTTGCCTCAGCAGTGACCAGTGGCCAATCCAAATCAATTAGTATGAAGCCTGCTCTCCAACCACCGGCCCCCTCCACCCGTGGATGTTGACCTATCTCCCCGATGTCTCTTATGGGTTCCAGAGACATGACCCAGCAGCTGGGGAGAATGTGGCTCCAAGAAATGGAGTCGTAGAAAACGAAATCTGGTTTTCTCCAATGTGTCCACAGCACCAGGGCAAGGAGGGGATGAAATACTGATTTGTTTCCTTATGTAATTCTGAGCCTACCAATACAGATGTACTTCGAGTAACAGGCTTCCCAGTTCTGTTTCTCTACTCTTGTCATTGTGTTCCATCCTTAGAACACTACATTCAGTTCAGTAGTCGTTTTACTGTTATGAATATTTTTATTTTGGGAATCAATATCAGGTACCTTATAAATCTCTTAGATTAAAAAATATGTACACCTTTTCACTAGATTTTTTTCTTATCCAGTTTCAGTTTATCATAATAATTATATAGAGAGTTAACACTGCTATAAGAGAAGACAGAAGAATCTACATAATATACTTAGATGAAGTATAATATTGTAATGTTCTTTCCTAAGTCAGTTGTATAACTAATCATGTCATAAATATGAAATATATTCCAGTGACTATAGAATTGACTAATGGAAATTCTGTGAGTAATAGTTTTGAAGGGTAGAATCTATTAAAGCCCTATAGTACTTATAAAGCAATGCCTCTAGTCATAATTTCTGGTACCATAAAGCTTAAAAAGTAAAAGAAATAAAATAAAATTTATATCTATATTTTAGGCTATAGACATTTTGGCAGGAAGAAGCATAAATACCCTATATCATTTGTGGTGAGTGTATTAATAGGTTAGGACGCATTTTTAGATGCAAATGGAAGCTTATCTACTATTGGGCCAATTTAACACTAGTTGAGGCTTGTTTCTTTTTAATGGCAAACACCTACTCTGTCTAAGGGACCACTGTAGACACTAGAAATTTGTTTTGGGGGTCAGAAGACACATGCATTAGGTCAAACTACATGCACGTGGTGTTACGTAGGTCATCGGTTGAACTTGGTACATAGGAGGGAGTGATCCCGGACAGCATGTAGGAGGCGTCCAGCGTGTAGTGTGGGCCTGTGTGTGGAAGGAAGTTGTGGGGGAGGCAGGGTCAGGAAAGTCCAAGGAGGACTTTGAAGAAAGAGTACAACCAAGGGGAAGCAGAATTGGGGGGTACACACATAAAAGGCAGAGAGAGACCCCAATGGGAGAATGAGTGCAGTGTCTGGGGAGTGACCGGTGAGCCCGCTCCATGCCAGCAAAGTTAGTAGTTCGGAGATAATGCTCAGAGGACGAGGGATCGGTGTGCACGCATGAAGCCAGCATCCCTATTACATCGAGGCAAGCAGTTCGTCCCCTATTTGAGGAGGTGGAAACAGAAGCATTGTAGTGTTAATTTTTTAAAGACAGTGAGATCATCAATATATTTCAGAATATGAGGAGAAAATACAAGTATTAAACAGCATTCGCAGTGTGTACTTCATGAAGAGAAAAGGAACCAGGATAGTGCAAAACAAAATTCCAAACTTACTTTGTACAATGACACATTCCTCAGCAGTTCTGTGAGAGAAGAGGGGTCTCTTAGCCCCTTTGGGGACTGCTGGGCCTGTCTTTATCTAGAAGGAGTTTAGGGGTTTGAATCACCTCTGGATCAAAACATGTCGTTATTGAGCATAAAGTCTGAACTCCAACTGCCAGAGTGGCCTTGCCCACCGCAAATCCTGGGCGAAGACCCCCTATTACTCCTGCCAGGGATGACCTCACTCTTCAGGTGGTGTTGCTGGGTCGTGACCTTCCCAACAGCACAGCCACCCAGCACAGCAGGCATCAGCCAGCACACGACATTCATAAAGGTAGGCAACCCTTGAAATCCTTCAAGCAACCTCTAAGTGGTGTGGCATGGGTTAGTCTATAGGTTCACTCCCCCTGTACCTACAAATGGCCCCCTGCCAGCTTTTCTCTGACACATTCACATTCACCAGCATCACTTCTCTCACCTCTTCCAGACATGCACCTTTGTTTCTGCTGCTGTTCATATTCCTAAAAAAAACTGGCATAAGCTTTCTGCCTACAGGCAAACACACTCACATTTGAAAATTTCACACAGACTGTAATGAGAATAAAGGGCAGAGCTGATTAAATTGTGGTTAGGTCCGAAGTTCTGAGCCCCTTTGGGTCCTAGGGAGGGAAAGCACATGCAGGCTTTGTCTGAGGATCTGAGAGGCTCTCCGAAGCCAGGCCTTGGTCTAGGGCAGTACGTGCTGATTACAGCTTGCACACATCCCCACATGGACAACTGGGAAGCAGATTTTATGGTATGTATCTACACTAGAAATCACCATGATTTCACCGTCAAAGAGAATTTGAAAAGAGCTAAGTGATCTTAATTTTTGGAAAGCCAAAGAGGTTCCAAGGCTCAGTGAGGAAATTGTGGCTGAAGTGATCTTAAAATGCAAAATGAAAGAAAACTCAGCAAGGGAGATCATTCCACTTTTCCGATGCTTCCTGGTCATCCCTCCTCCTACACAGTGTGGTCAGTGGTCCACTGGGCTGCTGGGGGCTCAGGACGGTGGGAGATGGAATGGAACATACTTCTCTCCTTCATTACGTGCTCTTGATCCTATCATCAGTGGTCCCCCCAGATGTCAAGAAGTTAGGTGTATCGTGCTCATCACCCTAAAATAAGATGTGCTCAATTAACAATACGTATGGCTAACCAATAATTTCCCGTATAAAGTGGCTTTTAATCCTTATACTTGTGCTTTTCCCCCACTTTATTGAGGTGTAATTGTATTTGGCATATAAGTTGCTTTATACTAGCTATTTGTTGTATTCTTCAGGAGTAAGTCATTTGTATAATAATTTTCCAGAAAAGAATTGGAGCTTTAGAAAAAGTACATGGTGAACTTGGGTCTTGATTCTAGACCTAGCACATGTCCTTTTCTGTAGGGCAAAGCCTTTAGCTAAGCACATGGGCTTTGCTTGTGCAATATTGGGGAAGAGGACAGACATTCCATTGACTTAAAGGCACTGACCAGAGGGCTTTTGCACTGTTCCGAATGTGGTTTCTTTCCTGGAAATGTGGGAACACAGAGTTGGCTGTGCTTCCTGATGGCTTTTCCATCTGTCCACATGAGCACAGATCCGATGGGGCTCGGTGGTGCAGCAGTTGTCAGGGGTGATGATGCGCAGAGCAGCAGGCTGACAATGGTATGTGAGTTGACTTTGCTGTGCACATGCGTGCTCTGATTCTCGCCGGAAGCTGGTCCCAGCAGAATTTCTGGGGAGCTCCAGTCCTATGTAATAGGGTCTAGTATGCAGAGAAAGAGGTGGTGTGAATCTACTGTTTTTGGGTCCCAATCAAGGAAAGTTTAGAAACTGATTTTCGGCAGGACAAAAAAGACGAATAAAACAAGTGAACTGGCAGTTACTAAACATACATATCACAAAAGGCAACCACTTAGAGATAAGTTCTAATCACAGCTCAACTACAGAGTTGATTCCCAGATTTTGCTTCATAAGAGTGTGGAAAACATTAGGCTTTCCAGAGGCATGAAGTCAACAAGTCCACCTACTGATCCACAGAGGGAAAGTGTGTCCATGACCCCAGCACCTGTATCACAACAGGTTAAGGAGTAAAATAGGAGGATTGTATATCATACTTTATTTTCATGTGTTGATTGAACATACATCATAGTGGTTAAAACTGAGATTCTTACAGGTAGCTGGATTTATATCAATTATGTATACATGTGTACATATATCTGTATAACAATACTTATACAAGGTCTGTCTGGGAAAATTCCAGCCATTATTAGTATAACGAGAATGGCTTATGCAACATTGATATAACCTGGCAGCCAAGGAGAGTGGATTGGAAAGTGTATAAGGGAACAATGATGACTTCACTGTACTAGTGAGGGGGGCAGTTGTTGAGTGAGCATGTGTAATGTGTGGCTGTCACATTCAAAATGACTGAGGCAGTAGAACAATGAGTCTTGTGTTACTGAATCTTGTGAATCGAATCTTGTGTTAAGCTTGAACAGTCCTCTGCGGGAGCTATTGGGACGATTCAGAAGGCTGCAGCTATGGGAAACTGGTGATTGGCAGCTTCATCACAACAACACACCTGCTTGTGTATCACATCTCATGCAGTGTTTTAGTGAAACATCAAATCTCCCAGGTGACTCAGCACCCCCTACAACCTAAGGGTGCCCTGCAATTTCTGGCTTTTCCCAAAACTAAAATCACCTTTGAAAGGGAAAAGATTTCAGACCATCAGTGAGATTCAGGAAAATATGGGGTAGCTGATGGCAAGTGGGAAAACTATGTGAGGTCCCAAGGTGCCTACTTTGAAGAGGACTGAGGCGTCATTGTCCTATGTACAATGTTTCTTGGGTCTTGTAACTTCTTAAATAAATGCCTCTGTTTTTCATATTACATGGCTGGATACCTTCTGGACAGACCTTGTATGTATTATTCATCTTTTGTGATGCACTATGGGTAGTTTACCCCCTTTTCTTACCTCATCCTGTTTTTCTTTTGTCACAATTAAAACTGGTGACATGTAGTCTGGGGATCAGATGAATATAGGCTGAGACCTTACACAGTGAATTAACTGTAGAAAAATCTTCAAGTCTTACAGCCCAATTGCAAGCTCCCTTAAATGGGACTTGAAAATAAATCCTGTTGGATTATTTACAAAATAATCCTGCTGGGTTATTTAGTTGTAGCTAGAATTCCTTGAGAAGCTTTGAAACATATGGACCCTGAGCTGTGTGGTGTTTTCAAACCATTTTGACTTGGTCTTAACTAGGGTGTGGGTGTTGGTATTTTTAAGCTCCTGCAGTGATTGCAATGTGCTGCCAGGGTTGAGAACTACTAACCACCTACTACGTGACATTCATTGTGGTAAGTACTCAGGGTTTCATGTTAGGGCTCCAACTCAGCTGCCCTGACCCTCTGACGTCACCATTGTCAGGGCACACGTACTGTCTCTGCTGTCCAGAACACTGCCCTTGTTCATTGCCCGAAGAACTCCTCATCCTTGGTGTCTCAGATGTCTCCCTTATTCAAAGACATTGCTGGCCTCCCTTTTAAATGAGGTCCCATTTTTTAGGACATCATCTGCCTTCACAGCATCTCTCCTCTTTACCTTCGTAACACTTGTCCCCATTTTAGTAACAGGTATTTCTTCCCATTGGAACTTTCACAATCAGAACTCAGGACCAAATAGATTTTGGCAATGAGGAAGAAGAGGCAGATTTACCTGAAGGGAATAAAGTTTAAGCTTCAGGGAACTTGTAGTGGGCTGAAGAACGCTTCCTCAAAGATGTCCATGTCCTGACCCCCAGAACCAGTGACTATCGTACCTTGTACAGTAAAAAGGACTTTGCAGATGTGAGTAAGTTGAAGGTCTTGAAATGGAGAGAATATTCTGGATTATCTAGGTGTGATTCATGTGATCCAAGGGTCCTTACAGTTAGAGAAGATGCAAGGACAAAAGCTGAGGTTAGAGAGAACAAAAGATGCCCCACTGCTGGTCTTGAAGGTAGAGGAAGGGGCCACGAGCCAAGGGATGCAGGCAGCCCCTGGAAGCTGGAGAAGGCAAGGAAATGGGTTCTCCCTCGAGTCTCCAGAAGAAATGCAACACTGCCAACTCTTTGAGTTTATCCCAGTGAAACTAACTGATCTCGGACATCTGACCTCCTGAACTGTAAGAGAAGTAATTAGTGTTGTTTTAAGTCTTTAAGTTGGTGGTAATTTGTTATGGCAAAATTAAGGAACTAATATAGCTTCCCCTTGCACAGGCCCCTTCCAAGAGCCTGGAACGGACTCCAGAAGTTTGTTCACATGGTCCAATGTTTCTCTAAAACCTGCAAAATTAAAATATGTTCACTACAATTGTGCTGTGTCTGCACTCAGACTCCCCGGGGCTCTCTCCTCCTTTGGGTGAGTAGCACGGAGTGCTGAGAGGCACTTTTGGACTCCGGCTAAGCATAAATGAGATTGGGGATACTTTGGATGCATTTAGTGGGATAAGTTTCTGTGGTTCACGGTGGCTTCCATACAGTGCTAAGTTGTTGTTGGAGTGTGGCAGTGGCTTCCATGAACACTCTTATGCTCACTGTGCTAAGTCCCCAGGTGTGGTGACATGAAGCAGTCATAGAATATGTGTAGCATGCAATTCATTCCCTTAATCTCATCAGGGGAAAAAGCTGTCTGCATAGTCCCTACATTTTTCTGATCAAACAAAAGCAGTGACTCATGAAGAAGGAGAGGAGAGATACATTTAAATAGCAGTAATGCATAGGCTTTCAGATTGTTTGATAAACCAGTTAATGAAGAAGAGTATGAATTGTTTGAATGCTTTGGGAGAAGGTTGAATTCTTAGCTGATTTGATATAATTTATGGGCATCAGTGAAAAATATTATTAACACACAACCACAAGGAGGACATTCATGATAAACCAGTTAATAAATGTCATCAATTTGAAGAGCATTTAATATTCATGATTAGTCACCCTGCACAAGAACATGTGAAATGCCCTGAAATGTTGTAATTCTCTTATGAAAGAAGTTTGATAGCAGTTTTCTCAAATTCAACAATAATCCTAAAGAGTTTCATGACATTTCCAAGAACGAACTGTCAGACTGAGAAAGAGCCCTTGAATGGTGGGTACGAGACATTCTCAGGGTGGCTGGTTGAACGAGTGTGTCAGAATTCAGAGAAGGGACGAGCACTGTGCAGAGGAAGTCTTCTTGGAGGTAGGACCGGAGCTGGTAAACTAAGAAAAAAAGGTATTTCCAGTACGTGAACTTCCCACCACCCCACCACCCACTTTTTAGTTTTGGCTGTACACATGTATGTTACATTTAGGCTGGGAATCCTAAAAAGTGGGATGTAAATGATCAAACCGTTTTTATTAAAAAAAAAATAGACTCGGGGTTATATGTTAGAGTGAGAGTATTCTAGTTGCTATTACTAATATATTGCTTTGAGTTATAGAGAAGACTTACCTAGCAGCCAGCAACTATTAATTGATGCCTGTCGTTCTTCATAAAACAGTCCGTGCCTTTGAACCTTCGTTTAGTTGAGGAATTGGATGCATATTTAGAAAAGGACGTGAAACTTGCAAAATGCTCCGAGACTCAGATGGGAGGAGACACTTTCAGGTCGTCTTCCCCTCCTGCCATGCCACAGCTTTTGGTACTTCGTCTAACTGAAGAAATTGACTCAGGTTCGGATTTGATTGAGAACCTCCTGAGCCGCGGTGCAGGCTGCCCGCCTCCAGGGGGCGCGCGGGCCGCCGCAACGTGAGGCCGCTCTGGCTCAGATGGAGGCTCCGCTTGTCTCTGTGATCCGCTTCTCACCAGGGCCTGCTGCCGCAGCGTCGCCGCCGGGAGGGTGCTGCAGCTGTCACCTCTGCTCGGCCGAGTCGAAGGTACCTGGGAGGGGGCCTGTGGACCTCTCCACGACGCGAGCCACTGATACCTCCCCCGCCGGCCCAGGGAGGGACGCGGCCCAAGGCCTGGCCGAGGGGCCCGGGGTGGGAGGGAGCCGGACAGGTCCCCACGGGCCCGGGGGTCTGTGCTTCTCCTGAGCGCAGGGAAAGGTCTGCGGGGCGGTTGCGGGGGGGTGCGCGTTTGCGGGTGAAGGCAGTGGGTGTCCGCGGGAGGGTGACACCCCGGATTTGTCGGCCGCCACGGGCCTGCGGCGGGGCGCGCGCTCGGGGACCGGGGAGGTCCCAGGTCCGAAGTCCGAGCCGAAGCCCCAGCCGGCCTCTGGTTGTTAGGCCCGGGCGACAGGTGTGCTTTTGCCGCAATAGCACAGACCACAGTACGTGGTCGATTATAAGGAGTCCGCAGTCTAGACGTGAACAGAAGCCGTTGAAATGTCCAGAATGGCATCCGGTCCCAGGGTGCCTGTGTTCAAAAGCAGTATTTGCCCCTTAATTAACATGCTGTGCTGAGACATAGGTTGTTTACTCACTAGATTTTCTAACACAGTGCTTTGCCTCGAGAGAAAGGTAATGTTTATTCTCCAAAACGGTTCACAATGTTCAGAATATGAACATATTGAGCTAAAAAAATATACCATTGAATAGTAACACTTGTCATTCCTTAAAAAATAATGGTGGCATCAAGGAGCTCCTAGCTTAAAGAGCTGTGTTATCAGTGGTGTAGGAGTTACAGTAATAGCTATCCTCAAGTGCTTGCTCCATGTCAGATATTGTGCTGCGTGCTCTAAAATACCTAGTGACTTTAATCCTTGGAGCAATCTTATGAAGTAACATTTCCATTTTGCAGATAAGGAAACTGAGGCACGGAGTCTAAATTAGTTTGTTCAGGGTTAGACAGCTAAGACAGCCAGCAAAGGCTGAGCTGGGGTTTGAGCCTCTTCTCCCTTCCTCCAGTGTTCTCTGCGCAAGATTTTGTTGCTGTTGTTTTCATATGCACAGACTGGGGATCAAACGCAATTTGGGTTTGTGCCCTGACCAGGAATCCACTCCCTAACCCTTCCGTCTAGGGAACGATGCTCCAACCAACTGAGCCACCCTGTCGGCCTGTCGCTGTTGTTTTTAGGAACTTGATTTGTAGCTTGAACTGATTTCCCTGTATTACTACTGCCTGGGTGTCCTGAGGATGTGGCAGCTGGCTTTCTTCAGTGGGAACCATCCATGAGAGAGCAAAGAGGAGGCTTTGATGTTTTTTATTGTCCGATCTGGGAAACCACTTCAGTCGTATTCTATTTGGTAGAAATGAATAAGCAAAGCCATTCAAGGGGAGGAGATTTAAACTTCATCTCCTCAAGGGAGGTGTATCAAAGAATATGTGGGCATATTTTTCAACCGCTGCAGTGTACTTATGTAAGTGATATGATTAATACACAAAATTGCAACAGAATGCAAATACAAATGCAAAAATGCAGATACACCACACGTGTATTACTACAATTAGAGTTCAGCAAGGTTGCCGATGTGAGTCAACACACATGCAGTAGTTTCATTTATAGTATTAGGAATAACTCAGTTAAAACTGTAATAAAAAAAGACTCCAATCATAGCAGAAATTTATTTAAAAATAAAAGTTATAAAGTATGTACAAGACCTTCATGGAAAAATTATACAAATGTATTAAAAGATAGCAAAGACTACTCATATACAATGTTCAAGGATGGGATAACTCTGTAGTAAACAAAAATTTCAGTAAGGGTTGTGTGATGTACGACAAAGGAATCCTTGCACTCAGATGGAATAGAAAATGACAAATAATTGTTACAGTGATTTTGACGAACGAGATTGGGAGACTTACCAAACATGGTATCAAGTACTGTTGTAAAGCCAGCGTGAGTAAGGCAGTGTGGTGTTGGCATGTGCATATTCCCACATATTACCAGAACAGAGTAGGAAGCCAGAAACAGACAGGCATAAACAGATAATTGACACTCGTCAGAGCCCTGTTGTCTGGTACAGTGGCTACGACCACATACGACTTTCAATTCTAAATGTAAGGTGCCCAGTATTAATAACTGCACGATTGGTTCTCAGCATTCTGGTGTTCTCCTGTTTGATGCTGTTTTAAAGTATTTTTTGTGACATATCTTTGTGGAACTTTTGGCTATTTAAAAAAAGTGTTTATGTCTTGGGACATAGCGAGGGAATTGTATGTTCTATTACAACTTTCCAAGTGAATGAATGGTGCGTCTGTTTCGAAAAGGTATTCTGTATTTCCATGGCCTCAGAAGGAGGAGGAAAATTGTCAAAGCAAATTCTATATTACAAAAATAATTCTAACTAGTTAGGAGACTTTGCAAATAAGTAAAATAAGAAATTAACAGTGTTGAAATTGATCCAGGTATCCTTGATGAAATTGAGAGATTAAGAAATTGGAAGTGTTTTCTTTGACACAAGCTAGCTCATTATCAATAAGGGTTCAGTTTCTGCAAAAATAAAGACTTAAATGGACAGAGAGAGATCTCAAGAGATGAAGTGATTTGAAGATGGAGTTGGTAATTACATTATTACTATGTTGCCTCTAGTTAATATAGATTATTTAGCATCTGGAAAAATTTGCCAAAAACATGCTAACAACTCATTTGCAATGCTTTCTGGAAAAATAAAATTTATTTTTATTTTTTTGTGATTATTTCAATTTTCTTTTCTTTTTATAAAATATTTTACTTTTCTGCCAGTTTATACTTAACACATTTTTATACATTTATATTTTTATTTGATGCTCTGAAATGTTACTAATTTTTTAATTACAGAGGCATTGTACATTTCATTTTACTTGTTAAAACATGAATTTTGAATTAGAAAAAACCCAGTGTTAGCACTAATATTTCGATATCATATGATGTAACTATTGAAATACTCATGCTATCATTTTGCTTTAATGTTATATTTCTGTCCAGGATATGCCTGCTATGGAAGGAGTTAACAAATGTGGATTTATTGTTTCTAAATAATTTCTTCTTCTCAGACCTTAAAAGACACTCAAGAAGTAGACATGTGATCATGATTTCTCCTTAAGTGTGGTATCAGTTTTATTGGTGTCCCATTTTAGGCTGCGTATTTTTGTCTAGTTATATTCTTTGACCAACTTCAATGAGTGTCTTCATGCCTTTTGTTACCTTTTAGACATTAAGGCCAATTTCCAAGCTCCATTGGAAGAGTTACTTGAATGCATCACTTTACAGTTGGATTGTGCATTCATTTAACTAAAAAAGTAAAAAGTATAGATTGAGCACTTAGTATGCAATAGGCGCTACTGGACATGGTGGGTTTTGTCAAACAAGACAAACAGGCTCCTGTCCTCAAAGGGCGTACATTCAAACAGGCAGGTATATAGTAAACGAGAAAATTCTAGATGGGATAAGAACCAGGAACAAAGTAAACAAGGCGATGTGAGAGGTAACTTGTGGAGATAAGTATGTTTGAGCTGAGACCTAAGTGCTGGGAATGAGCCTGTTGAGTAAAGATCTAGCCAGGCAATACGGTCCAGGGAAAGGCAGAGTAAGCGCGAAGACCCTGAGGCAGGGAAGAGCTAAAAGGAACTTAAAGGAGGGACGTGGGGCTAGAGTATAGAGACCAAGAAGTATGGATGGTTATAGATGGAATGACTTAGGCAGGAGCAAAGTCATTTGGATTATGTAGACCATGGCAAAGATTTTGAATGTTATTTTTAAATGCATTGGGTTGACATTTACTTATTTAAATCAAGGGAATGAAATGTGATTTATGTTTTTGAAAGATTTTTTTTTTTCTGTGTGGAGAAAGTAATTGTATGGGGTAAAAGTGGAAATGGAGAGCAGTTAGGAGTTTATTATAGTGGGCTCAGGAAGGAGTCATCTTTGGACCTTTGGAGCTACTGAAAAAGTTTCTTAGCCTGAACTTGATGTTCCACAAGCGTGGAATGAGGTAATTGGTAGGAATGAGACTGAGAGAATTAGAAAGGCAGGGGAAAACTTCATGTATGTGGTTGTGTGTTAGATCCAGAATTAAGAGTAGAGGCAGTGAGAATACAAAGCAAATAGAATTTGAGAGACAGCAAAGAATGAAGAGTTGACAGGACTTTGTGTCTGATTCAGAGTCAAAAGGAAAAAAGGCATCGAGGATGATGACTAGAGGCCTGGGCTGCTAGAGACGCATTAGTTCCATTGTCAGAAACTTGGAGCAATGCCTTCGTTGTGGTGTGTGTGTGGAGCGTTGGGTTTCAGATGTGATGTTGAGGTGAAGGCAAGACACACGGATGGGACGGTTTATAGAACTGCCCCGTGTACTGGTGTGCTAACATATATAGTACTGCTACAACTTCTTCGGAGTTCTCTGCTTGCTGGCCTTGCCCTTGCAGAATACCACACTTTTAAGAGTTCCTCTCATTATTGCCCCTGATCCCCTGAGGGTGGAGATCATTTTACTGATGTTCAGTGATTCACCCTTATCATCGATGTGGAAGTCCTTTACCCTTAAGTCAGGCCGAACTTTTTTAAGGGATATTTTTACTCGGAAACTAAGCAAAAAAAAAAATCTAGTATCTTATATTTGTTTATTGCATTACCGTTTTCAGAATTCCTCTCGTATAAAAACACTGTGAAGTGGGGCAGATATTATTATACCAGTTTTCCAAATCAGGAGACCGAGGCACCTAGAGATTGCCTTCTCAAGATTGTGCCCTAAAAAATGGCAGAGTGAGGAGCCAAGATGCAAATCTTGGTTGGTATGTAGTCCTCGAAGAGTAGTCGTGATAAACTAGCAGAGCTCAGGCCTTGAGTCTGCCTTCATGTTGATAGTTCATGATCATTCGTCGGGTTGTTTCTCCTCGCTGCAACCTCGACTAGATTGGGTGGAAGTGGTGTCTCTGGGTTAGCAGAAACCCAACACTGAGATTTGATCCGATTCCCATTTCCTTCTAGAAGTTTTTATTCTTTCCTCCAGCTCTT